TTAGAACACCTCAAACATTGGTGAAAGTCGCAGTTGAAAAGGTTTCGTTTAAAAATAAAACTTTGAAATACCATATCTCGATTGTTTATTGATGGATTTTGATAATTCTTTTTTAATGTTCTTATTTCATAGAGTAGATTTGAACCCCTGAGGTTTAAACGTCAATATTGTTCAAAAAAATTTTCGCTTCTGGTACCTAGTTAGAGTCAGGCACAGGCAAACATAAAGAATGGACCCCGAATAAGAAACAAGGCAATGAGAACAATCATACCTTTCTCTTCCTTTTTCACAGGACTTTCATCGCTCTCTTCTGCTTGAGCTGGTGGACTGGTATTCTTTTCATTTTCTGCTTTCTTCTTTGCAGCTTTCAATTCTTTCTTGAGCTTCTTTTGTTCACGTCTGATTTCGTCACTTAAAATATTCATATATACAAAAGAAAAATATCAGTGTGAGAAATAAAACAACCAGAACTCTACAAAAGTTAAATGAAACTCCTTCTCCTGCAATCAAATCCATCAAACTATAACACAATGTAAACCAGCCCACGGGAATAATCTGGAGTATGGTTTCTGAAATACATAATATTAAAAAGAGGAATCCAAAATCAGAAAAGCCATATTTAAAGCATGCTAGCAATGCATCAATGTTTTTCCCCTCTGGTATTGAAAAATATTTTTGAAATCAAAAGTAAGCTTAAGTTGATGACAAATGCTTTAAACAAAATTGCTGCTTTATTTTCAAAGTTCACAACTATTATTTCAAATTAACTCATACAATAAACAGAACAAATAAAATGTAAAGTACAAATATTACAATTCATTTATGCTCACTTCAACAGTGACCAATTCAGTGAAAAGACAAAGCTTTCAGTCTCTATAAGGTCTGGGTATCCAGAGCTTATTTGAACTTCATTAAGGAGAAGCGGAACAAAAAACTGGGCCGCTAGTCAATAGTAGGTATAATCCCAACCCCTTATGCACATGGTTGAATCCAATTTTCGCAGGATGAAATGAGGAAAAAGCATGAAAAGCTTTCTTCTCAATGTAATGAAAAGAAATAACAAGAACAAAAGCAGTAAATAGTTGAAAAAAAATAATGATTTGTGTCACAACGCAGTGGAATCAGGCGCTCGTCAATTTTTGGGCATATGGAGTTATTGGTATTATCTTAAGGGTTGTTCATTTGCCTTGCATTCGATGTAAAAAAAATATCCATTTATCTTGAAGAGAAGTCAAGATATTTGCAATTGAAGGAGGTGTGGTCGCCAGATTTCAGATGTGAAATTTGTGAGGAAATGGCCGCCAAAGTTTGGTGACTTCCATAGCTTAAGAATCCTTGGAAACTGCAAATCTACATTTTTTTGGTGTGCCTTTAATCAATATTTTCCATAAAATCCACACATAAAACTGTTTTTGAATGGACATGACAAGGTGTTGAGCCAAAAAACAAAAATTTGAGAAAAAAATTCCAAATTGGCCGAAAGATGCCGATTCCTCGGATTTTATTATTTTAATGAGCGCCTGATTTCACCATGATGCCTTCCATACAGTTTACCTTCTGTTCTTTTTAATTTCTTCAGGTGTAAGCTCCTCTTCTATTACAGTGGAGGGGACTTCAGGAACATTCTCTTTTTTTAGTTTCTTTCTGATTTCTTCACTACTTATCTCAGATACTTCTTCACCCTGAAAAATAACATTTTTTTTAAACAGTAGATCAGGATAGTATTATACTGCACTTTTGTAAAAGGCCTTGAAAACCTCAGAAACTTATACATCTTAGCCTGAAGACCTGATAGGGGACCAAGGGTTCCGTTTTCAAAATAACTTAATTCTATTTTCTGGAAGGGTGCTAAAAAAAACAACAGCAACAACAAAACATTGACTCAATAAATGGTGTCCACATCAATAAAATTAAGTGATTTATAGAGTGAGAAAACTAGCAAAGTGTGATTATCATGAGTCATTTACTCTGTGAAATGGGCTCTGTTCACATAACAGCTCTGTCATTTGCAACATATGACTCCAAGGTCCTGGAGCCAAAGCATAATGTGTCAATTACTACAACTTCTACAACTACAACTACTATTACTACAAATTTATACTACTTCTACTTACTACTTCTACTACTTTTACCACTACTTCTAGTTCTCTTCCAACTACTAGTACTGTGCACTCCACTTAATATAGACTCGACCCACCGACTACTGTGATCATTTTGAACAGTCCGAATCACCTCTCTTACCTCATTCTCTGCCCATTACCGATATATCGGCAGCACGACCGCACCATTTGCGCTCATTACCGATACATCTGCACAGGCTATACTCAAACTTTGTTTGGTTCGTAAATGCTCGATCCATTATTTTAAGTTTTGATATAAACAAATCTCAAAAGTAAAAACTTCCTCCAACGAAATACAGCGTCTATAATAACTACATAAGTGGGTGGAAAGTTGAAATTGTTGGAGTATTTTCAGTAGTGTGTTTTTGAAACCAAAACATGAAAGATGACCACACAAATTTGTAGTTCTAGCTATGTTTCTGGGCCTGGTACCAAATTACCCCAGAGGCATATAGGCCTATAGCTTGTAAAACAGACCAGGGAATTTTTCTTTAAGTAAACTTGAGGACAGAGATGATAATGTCATTGAATCCTTAGCTTTAGATTCTGATTCGGGTGATGATTGAATGGAGAGTGAGAGGCGTGATAAGAAAGACATAATTCGTAGATCTAAATCTACAGTGACAGCAAAGAGGATAGTTGAAGACAATGGATTTAGTGGATATGCTGGAAAATGAAAGGGAAAGAAAGCCAAGAGACATGAAAATTAAGAGGATAATGACATAGATATCTAGATCTAGGTCTAAATCTAAATCTAGACTTGGACGTGCAATGCAACTCAGGCAAATTCTGATTTATTACAACTTTTGGTACCGGTAACACAGTGATGTTACAAAATTAGCAATTAAATCTGCTAGAATTGCACAATTTCATACATTTTTGCATGAACATGCAGGAAATTAAATATAACATTCATTTTATGGGAATGTTTTTTTGAAACATCAAATTAATTATTTAAAGAGGATATTCAATTGATTTATGTTATATGTATGTTCATTCGCACTTGTCCCTTGTTATTCGTGTGTTCTAAGGTACCTATGTTATTCAAATCACGTTTGATATAGGTACCTGTGAACACACGAATAACACAGGTACCTGAGAACACACGAATAACAAGAGCGAATAAACATGCATATATATAACATAAATCAATTGAATATCCTCTAACTTATATTCAAAGTAGGAATTTTAGTCTGTCTTTTTATTAGCTCCCCTGTGATGGACGTGTTCTCTGACAAGTATCAATTACATCCTTTACCTAATCAAATATTTTTTAAACACATTTCAAAGCTACGTTTTACTACCTTTCAAAATTTGTATGACTATACGTATTTCATTTTACTTGTGAAAATCCTTCTCAAACATACACACCTATCATTCACGATTGGATGCACAGAGAAAACCGGTGAAAGCTGGTATAAAAATGGACAGAGAATGAGTTAAAGCATCTTTTACTTTTATTACAGTTGGCATCAAAAATGTTCTTACTCCAACTCAATTAGAAGAGAAATTTGAGGAAAGAACGCAACAGCAATGCGCCCACTAATATTCAGTTTGGCCTTCCGATATAAAATACAGCAGAATCCCCTTAAACCAAAATCTGCCAGACTGTCGGATTTTCTTCCGTTGGTTTAGAGAGGTTCCTCAAATAGAAAAAAAAGTTTAAAAATCGGGGATTTAGTTTTCTTTCAGTTTACTGCTGTTTTCTTTAAATCCTGTTTGGTTTAAGCAGACTCCACTGTATTTACCAAGTTAACCCTTAAAAACAAGACCCAAATCTGCTTTCAAAAGTGGGGTGCATGAGTTAATAAAGAGGCAGCATTACCTGCATCTTCCTTTTTGTTCCTCCTTTGTCTGATTCTGCAGGATCGAGGACAGGAACCGATGACAGGTTTGGGTCATCTATTAAATCATGGCTGCTCTTGCTCTTCCCGCTGAATTTCTGAGGAAAGTCCATACAAGAGCAACACTTTTTTCATGATTTCTAGAAAAATAATTATTTTCAAATTTGTATGAGATATTACCCAACATTACAGTGAACATGGTGGAGGAGAAAAAAAGCCACTATATTCTACACTGACTTGGCTTTTCAAGTCTTCCCAATTCAGCAGTAGATAACCTACTTGTAACTGGAACAATAGTAGATTTTACTCATAAAAGAATTCAAATTCAGTTTTTCCTTATGCTCAACAATGTAGAAATATGACAGATTACATAGCACCACACATTCACACAGTGTATCTTTGGCTCTTTTATCAAGGGAGACTTAAGTTTTCAATTTATCATTTCTAAGGTGATATAATTTACTTCACATAAAACATGCTCATAGCAACAAAGCATTTGAAACAAACCAAAATGAATTAAAATCTTTTCATGCCATGATTTATCCCATACAATCATAAGGCATAAAGAAATACATATCATAGGTACACCGCACAGAGAGAAATTTTATAATGTGATATATTATACCTTGGAAGCTTTGAAAGTTTGTTCTTCATCTTCCTCTGCCTCTTCTCCAAAGGACAACAAGCTGAAGTTCCTGGAGTGAAAGAGAACACAAAACACATGAACAAGAATAATGAGCGATGCTTGCACACTTCTGTGACATAGCTCTATCAAGGAATGTGTATGCAATGAGTACAAATAACCTGCAAGTTAATTTCTTTATCTGATTAGACAAAGTGATTGATCCGACATATCCTGAAATCAGATGTGAGAAAAACCTACCAGGCCTGCATGAATCAGACTTCTTCATCAGATACATTTGCATGAAAGGTAAATTCCACACCACAAAGTTAACAAGCCTCCAACAAATTTTGTGTTTGAGCCAATATTGCAGCTGACACACTCACATATCTTTAAAAAATGGGGAAATAAAAGGCAGGAGAAAGAGTCACTCACGGTGTTAACTTACTTAGTGGCTTTTGATTTGCTTTTGACCCTTTTGTCCTCCTCTTTTTCTTTCTTTGGTTTCTTTATAACTCTTGGCACTATATCTTCGAATGGGTTGGACAAAATCTGTGAATAAACAGGAGATAACAGTAACTATTACTATGAATCTACAAGGAAAAAAGACGGTACAATAGGTGACTGACATTCTCAGTTTCAGGGAGTTCTAGCATTTTGAGAAGTATGAATGTAGCTGTACAACTGCAATTTATTTTAAAAATAAAATTAAAGAATAAAAACCTCAAAACCTGAATGATACCAGAAAAAAAGATATGCAATGAAAGTGTGAAGAAAATTGAGATATAAACAATAGGTTGAGACAAAAAGTTTTTTGTAATAGCAAAATGTACAAAAATGCAGATCATAATGAAACTAGTTTAAATGATTATAACATTCTTATTTTGTATATTCCAAGAAAATGAAACGCATTATATCATTGGTGTTGCAAGCAATCCCCTTTAGTCCGTTTGGGAACTTTTTACATCAGAGGCAAAAAAATTAGTTTTAATTGCATTGTTCTTATCAGGAATCATGAAAAGCATGAAGGTTGTAAGCCTTGGCCATAGCATTAAGATACAGCTTTGGAAGGGTGTAAAAATCGAGAATAAAAAAAAAATCTTGCTTGCAACAGCGACAATATAGTCAATACCTCAGTTTTCAAAATGTTATGGGGGTAAAGAGGTCTTTCATCTCCATCTGTTTCCACCTCTTGGAGTTTGAGCATATTGAATAGAGTGGGCCCTGTGACTTTTCCAAATATAGTGTGCTTGTTTTGCAGTTCAAGCGCTTCTCCCAAGGTGAAAAAAAACTGACTGCCATTGTCATGAGGCCCTGCATTTGCCATGGCAACCAGACCTCTGCGTACAAAACGTAACCTGGAATGAAACTCATCCTGAGGATCAATACAAAATGTGTGACGCACTAGTTTAGTCCCTTTTTTATATAATTTGCTTAAAGCTCCAAATTTACATAATGAATTACGAGAGGCCAAAGCATGTAAAATCAGGTACATTTTTGGAGACCCCTTTTTCATTTGTGTCCCTGTGCCAGATATCTATGCAACAGTTAAACCTGTCTAAGATGACCACTTACGGTTGAAGAGAAAAGTTGTCATCTTAGATATTTGGATCTCTTATGTATATACAGTGTCATATATAGAAAAACATAAGTGGGGAAGTGGAAGTGGTCTTTTGCACTAGTCATTGTCTTTGACAGGAGGTCATTAGAGCAAGTTTGACTATCCAAGTAGATCTTTATAATTTGAAAAAATATGTGTATTATATATGTATTTCACCCAAAATATGAAAGTTTTGCCCTTCACATATAAGTATTATAAGATATGAGATAAAATTAAACATTTGAAGGAACCCTCAGTTACAATTTATCAATAAAAGTGCAGTTGAAACTGTATAAAAGACGTCCAGTCATTGTCAGGGAGAAAAGTGACCATATTAAATAGGTGGCCGTCTTATTACACACTGTCGTTATAATGTAAAAAATATGCAAGGGAAGGAACAGGGAGTGGTCATTTGTACTGGTGAATGTCTAGGTGAATTTGAGCAGCTCTTTTTTCTTCTTCTGGTAAGTGTTTTATGGCGTTCTCAATTGCTAAGGTTAAATGAGCGCATGGGACACACCAAACATTTTCAGTAGGTAGGAAATTTTGAATTTTGCCATGGTGGCCGCCGAAGCCTACTCTGATAGATTTTGGACCACCAAGGGATCTTTAACGCCCCCAACTTGCACACGGGACCTCCGAGATTTTTCGCCCTTGTCCGAGAAGGCTAGGTGCAGATCTTTAGAGCAGGTTTGATTGTAAAAGTATATAAAAGATAAAAAGAAAAGTGAATTTAAGGGGCAAACCTTGAAAGGACCTCCATAAATGGACTCTCCACCTGTCCCAGTTCCAGTAGGGTCTCCTCCTTGAACAATAAAATCTTTCACAACTCTGTGAAATATTGTATCATCGTAGTAACCTTCCATGCACAGTTGAACAAAGTTCCGACATGCTTTGGGCGCCTCTTTTGACCACAGTTCAATGTCAATATCTCCCACTGTTGTGACCAGCAATACCTTGTAAAAAAATGTTTTAAAGGATCAAATTATCAAACATTAACTGCTTCATGAATAATTCTGATGGTAGTAAAAATGAATGCAACACAACAAAATTGTTAAAACAGTGGGGATTCCCATCAATTATCAATACAGCACAAATTTTTGCCACCAGCCAAGATAAACATGAGTTATGTAGCCTACTTATACTAACAAAACAGTAGTCTAGTATTCTCTTATGGTTTTATGATAATTTTTCTCACTCATCCTTCATGGGGCTAGGCCAGAAGTTACTACATTAAATAGATCTAGACTAGATCTAGATCTAGACTAGATCTAGATCTAGACTAGATCAAGATCTATATCTATATCTAGATTCTAGATCTAATTATTTCTAATAATAATAAAAGCAGAGGGAGGTGACGGTGAAGTTTAGCAGTTTAGCTTACCTTTCCCTTTGAAGACGGCTCCTGAATATAGATGCTGCTCATTTTTTCAAATGTAGATTAGAGAATCTAGTAGATGTAGGCCTTGAGATATAGACTCAAGACACTAAACCTTTGACATAAAAATAATAAATTTGATGGACTTCACGGTTATGGGGGAATTGCAGGGTCAGTGCCTGTCCTGCTCCTTGTTTTGACGACTGGCGCTGCTGACTGCTGAGCCTATCGATAACGGATAGTTTCACTCTCGTGAAGTAGATCTACCGGCAGTCAATTTTATACTGCTAGAATCTATTTGCAGAACACGTACTAGCCTAGGCTTTAGATCTGGTGTAGGCTTATAGAATATTTTGTGGGAATCTCTGTCTCTGGGTAGTTTTTTCCTCACAATATTTCAGAAATGTTTCAATGTTAATAAGAGTACCAACCAGAGACAATAAAAAACAATAACTGATAAAACTAATAAAGTATTTTTTTCAGCTACAGACGACAGATTTCGTATGTCGTTTAGTTAATTCAGTGAGACATGTTTTGTATAACTCTAGCGTACATTAAAAAACAATAAACAGGACTTAGATTCGAAGTACGAAGTAATCAACCTAGCGAAAGAAAAGACTTGAAAAGAGGAAGAAAGGACCGCCTCTGACTCTGAGAAGTGAGAAGGCCTGAGATCATTGAATAAAACAACACGCAGTTCACACAACGTTTCCTCCAACATTTTAACATGATTCCCAGCTAGAATCTAGATCTAGGTCCAAGTAAAACATGGAGAACTTTCAAGGTAAGTGATCAGTTTATGTATGGATCTAGAATAGATCTATATCCTAGATTTAGAAGTTGAAGTGTGAGGATGTAGGAAAGTGAGTAGTAGAGTGAGTAAGGGAGCTCTGAAAGAAAGTATAGTGGACCCCTCGGCACCAGGGGCGCCATAGTGAAAGTGGTTCCGACCGACGGTTACCGGTGGCCCGGTAAAGTACAATCTTACCAGCACACCTCTGTGATTGGCCCAAATAGATGACGTATTTCAGCCATCTCTATTTTTATCGTCTCCCGTTGCCAGTTGACTAGTTATCACCATGGCGGGCCCACTTTGCCGCTTACCGCTTGATGGGCTACGTCACTAGATCTAGGTTCCATCGCTGACTGCTTGGGCTGTGTGTGCGTGCAGGCTTGTGTGTGTGTGCATGCGCTTGTGTGTGTGTGTGTACAACTTTGAGGAGAAGGTATATTTATGGAACGAGAATCGCTGAGGTTGTTTATAAAAGATATATATTTATAACCCCCCCCCCAAAAAAAAAAAACATGGCGAGATCTAGTCAACAGTTACTGGCGAGGGAAACTCAAGAATCTTGGGGGAAACCCCGGAAGACGACAAAACTAGATAGCGGAAATATGTCATCTATATTTGGGCCAATCACAGAAGTGTGCTAGGTGCTCGCTGCAGCTTCATGTCATGTCTTCCTGTAGGTGAAAAAATTATTCTTCCATATTGAATAGAAGTCGAAATATTTGCGATTGATGGACGTGGGGTCACCTAGTTTCAGAAGTAAAATTAGTAAGAAAATGGCCGCCAAAGATTAGTAAAGTAATTTCCTCAGGTAGACAGTCTGTGGAAACTGAAAATTTACATTTTTTGTGCCTTTAATCAACGTTTTTCAGTAAAATTCACACAGAAATAGATCTATGTTCTTATATAGGCATGAAAGATGTTAAGCCAAAAAACAAAAAATCGATAAAAATTCACAAACCGTCAGAAAATGCCACTTCCTCCACTTTGATTATTTTGACAAGCACCTGATGTCACCACGCTGCCTTACAAATTGATTATATATATGATGTAATGATCTCTGAAAGTGAACTTTAGTTGTATTGAAAAATACAATAAGGCCAGTAATACTGGACACTTATTATTGTTTTAATTGATTATTTTTCCAATTGGTAAATTTTTTTTTGTTTGTGCAGGTTACATTGCCAAGTTTGGAAAGCCAAACGATAATCTCCGGACATCCTGTAAAAAGTGTGGCTATGGTGAGTGCGTTATAAAATTTTAAGTTTTTATAGCTTTCCTTTAGAATTTATAAAGCATAGTCTCTTAATTATATTATTATTAAGTCTGTATACAAAAATACATTGTTTTTTGACCCAATGTCAAAATGTTCAAATGCTAAAAAAGTCCTCTTTGTTTCGAAAAGGAACCAAACAATTCAGAGCTTGGTGAGTTAGTTTTGAAGTTGTCCAGATTATTTGGCCCCTGTCTTTGGATTCCAAACTTAAATGGGGGGCTCTCATGGCCTAGAGGTTAAGGTGTTCGCCTCTTATTCGAAGGTCCCGGGTTTGAATCCGCGTAGCGAAGGAAAAATTTTCTTCTCTAAAATAGTCTCCTTTCACTCGTTTCCTGCTCTCTAGCAATGTTCTGTCGTCTGCTTTCGTCTCCACTTTCTGCCCCCCACCCCCTCACCTCCTTTGCCCCCTCCTTTGGGCTCCTGACTCTTTCTGCAGCCGTTCTACTGTCTCTCCTTGGCTCCTTCCTACTGTTGTCTTTCAGCCACACCTCTGATCTTCTGGTAGGAAAGATCTACACCTAGCCTTCTCGGACGAGGGCGAAAAATCTTGGAAGTCCCATTTGCAACTTGCGCACATTAAAGATCCCTTGGTGGTCTTAGTCTTAAACTGAGAAGAGTAGGCTTTGGCCGCCACCCTGGCGAAATTCCAAATTTTCTACCAACTGAAAATGTTGAATGTGTCATATGACCTTAAGCAGTTGCGAGCGCCGTAGAACCCTTAAACCCCCCCCCCCCCCCCCCAAAAAAAACAACAACATGTAAATGAACATTTTCCTTCACATATGAGATGAGTTTTCATGTTTGTGTTCAACTTCCAACTTCAACTCTAATGCACTAAGTCCATCTGTTCCACTGTGAATGAATACTAGATAAAAAGAAAAGGTAGAAACATTGTTCTCTTATATCAGATTCATGTAATGAAAATAAAATCTCTGAAATGATTCATGGATTATGACTGAAATGACAGTTTTATTACTAACTTTACTCTGGAAGGTTGAGGTTTTATTGAAAGTGACCCAATCTTAAATGACTTTTCCTTTGTATATTCTATATTTGGCAACTTGGAAACACATGTGTCACTTTTCCCTTAAAACTACGACAGCTGCAGAGTTGAAAGTTAGCAAGTACCTGCAAAAAGATCAGATAGGTCCCCTTGACGGAGCCCGATTTTTTTATTCGTTTCCTGAATTTAGAAAAACGTATTTGACAAAAAGGTCCCGTCCTTCTTTGGCCTTTGTTATTGTTCCCCTGAGAAACGAAACAAATATGCGTAGCTATCCCCCACAGCGGAAGTGCCAGAAGTGATAACATGAGGCGCATTTTGTTTTGAGAGTATCGATCTAGACCTTCTAATTTTTTGCATCTTTCAAGATTTATTGCTTCATTCCAGTAAAGTGTAAATATCGCAGGCCAATGACTTTCAGTTGATGTTAATACACCGATCATTCCTTTCATTAAAATTGGGCCCAGCTACTTGGAGGGCAGCGGACAGACTCATTTGAAGTTAATACAGGAGTGAGACAGGGATGCCTGCTATCGCCTTTTCTCTTTTTATTAGCAGTGGATTGGATAATGAGACGGACAACATCGGGACAACGCAGTGGCATACAGTGGACCCTTTCCAATGAGCTGGAAGACTGTTCTACTGTATGGTTCAGAGACATGGAGGCTCACAGCATCAGCAGCAAGGAAACTGCAGAGCTTCGTAAATGGATGCCTATGAAGGATAGTGGGGATCAAGTGGTACGATCGAGTCACTAATGCTCGACTGTGGGAGAGAACAAGCCAAAGGCCAATAAAGGAAGACATACAGGTATGGAAATGGATTGGACACACCCTGAGGAGACCCCCGTCAAGCATCACCAGGCAGGCTTTAACGTGGAACCCACAAGGAAAACGAAAGAAGGGAAGACCAAAGATGACATGGAGACGAACGGTACAAGCTGCAATTGAAAAAGTGGGGACATCATGGAAACAGATAGAAAAGGATGCTCAGGACAGGCTTCGTTGGAGTAATGCTGTTGATGGCCTGTGCTCCACTGGGAGTTAAAAAGGGCAAGAGAGAGAGTTGGTCTATAAACCTGTCTGTACAGTTTTCGGTTACAGGACAAAGAGCCCCACTTTCAAAACAACTTATTCTATTGTTAATAGCCCTTACACTTTAACATTAATCATATTACTGTAAGTTTAGTAAATCTAGTATTCATGCATATATATATTTTTGTTTTTTTTGTTTCGGCAGCTGGCCACCTGACGTATCAGTGTCGCAACTTTCTAAAGGCAGATCCCAGTAAAGAAGTTGTCCTTGACGTAAGCAGCACAAGTTCTGACTCTGACGATGAGCCGTTTGTGTCCCCGTTAACGAACCTAAATGAAGGTATGTAGGCATTCTGTTATTTTTAGCAGATTGTACCACATACTGAGGCTTCGTTCATTGACTAAAAGATGATCAGGCCCTTTGACCAAATTCTCCTCTTTTTCTGTCTTTGCCACGTTTTAATTTCATTTGTAAAATTATTTTGCAATGTCAAAGCTAATTTTCCTGTAGGCCTGTCTTAAGTTTTCAGTCAGGGTTGTTTTTGTCATCTACTTTCTTTTTTTCTCTTGCTGTATGTCCTGCATTTATGTGTACAGTACGTGTGTTTGGTTTTCTTTCTTACTTCAGTGTCTTGGGTCTTGTTACTGTTAATTTTTTTTTTTTTTTGGGGGGGGGGGGGGGTTAGTTTGTTCATAAGTGCTCAACCCTATCCGTAAGTCATGTTTTACTATTGTATCCATACGACGTGGGGAACTCTGTGCCACCATTTTCCAAAGAGGAAATTTGCTCATTAATCCGATCCATACGCTTTGCATAGCAGTGTGTCAAGAAATACTGAAAGTTTTAAAGAGATCTTCATACTAGAAGTATTCTAAAATGTGAAGAATACAACCCCAAGGGGGTACTGGTACAAAATGACCCCAGGGCCTACTGATAGGGTTAACTGGGATCACATTGCACTTTCATATGTGTTATAGTTGGAAGTGCTACCTGTACATTTTAAAGAATTCCCATTTCAACAATACTGAAGCTTATTTATGTTTCTTCCAATATTTCATGGATCATGTGGAATTTCTCGCGGCTATGAAGGTTTCTTAGAAATATTCCTGTCTGCTCATAGGGTAGTGATGGGTGGCAGAGCTCTTCACCTACCTAACACAAGCATGGCTGCTATTGCACGTCTAGTTCTACCCAGGAGAATCTTGGGCGTGGCAGTTTCCTCAGCATGATTTTTAAAAAACTTGTTTTTTTTTAATTTGGAGCAAACACAAGTATTTGTAACATTTTGGTCGCTGAGTCCACAAAAATACCTCTGCCTCTTGTAGTTGTAAGTCAATTACAAACTATAACAATGTTTATATTTTATCTTTTTGTAAAGATTAGTTTGTTATGTATTTCTGTTAAAGAACATCTTGTCTTTCACCTTCATAATGGATACATTCCACCTGCATCTGTGGTATAGCGGTTAAGCGCTTTGCCGTCGTATGCAGAAAACCTGAGTTTGATTTCTGAATGGAAAGAATTTATATCTAGTATGATCTCAGTCTTTCTGCTGGGATATCGTATCCCTCTCAGCCTGGGTTGGGCCTGACAGGCAGGGTCAAAGCCCGCCTTCTTAATGATCAAAGTTGTGTTGATGGGGTTGTAAAAACACCTATGAAAAGAAAAATTCCTTCTAAAGAATTTGTGTAAAAATTACTTTAAAAAAGACACGGTAAAGTGACCATGATAACAACTACTATGCAAAGTTTCATTTTGTCCCCCTGCGTTGACGCTACCTTTCTAAACATTCTGCTTTTTTCAAAAGGTTAGTGTTTATTGGGCGTTTTGGATAGAGTATCATGCTCATACTCCTACTTTGCCAGTGGGTGGTTGGCGCGTGCTCTGGTTTGGTTTTCTCCTTCTTTCCTGTTAAACATCTATCGTCCTGATCTCTGTTCCTTCTTTTTTGTGTTTGTTACTCTCTTGGAACACCTCTAATCTTCGGCACTTATATTATAACCTTATTGTGTTGCAAATGCTGTAAAACTCTTACTAAAACTAAAATATTTTGCCCATGTGCTTGGTGTAATATAGATTTTTTTGTACTGCTTTTTCTGTGGCAGGTAAAAAGAAAGATCAATCTGAAGCTGACAAAAAGGACAAAAGCAAAAAGTCAAAGCGGAAAAAATCCAGGTTTGTGTTTATTTATTTTTTTTGGGTCAGTGTTTTATGGCGCTCGCAACTGCATAAGGTCATATGAGAGCGCGGGACTTATTAACCATTTTCAGTTGGAAGGAAATTTTGAATTTTGCCCGGGTTGCGGCTGAAGCCTACTCTTATCGATTTTAGACCACCAAGGGATCTTTAACATGCGCAACTTGCACACGGGACCTCCGAGATTTTTCTCCCTTGTCCGAGAAGGCTAGGTGTAGATCTTTCCTACCAGGAGATCAGAGGTGTGGCTGAAAGACAGCAGTAAGAAGGAACCAAGGAGTAGCAGTAGAAAGGCTGCAGAAAAAGTCAGGAGCCCAGAGGAGGGGGCAAAGGGGGTGGGGGCAGAAAGTGGAGACGAAAGCAGACGACAGAACATTGCTAGGGAGCAGGAAAGGAGACAATTTTAGAGAACATTTTTTGGTCACTACTCGGCTTCCAACCCGAGAGCTTTGAAGGAGAGGCGAACACCATTACCTCTAGACCATGAGAGCCTCTAGGTTTGTGTTTATTGTTGGAAAAAATGGGAAAAAAATTGAGGTTTTTATGAGACATGTTCAGAGTGCACCACGAGTAGGTTCTCTTTCTTTTCTTTGCTTTTATTTTTTCTTCCTATCTTTTATTTTTCTGTGCTTAGTGGCAGTATTAAGGCTTATATTGTCCCTGTAAACCCCCGGAGAGGGGGGGGGGGGGAGAGATATTTATGCTTCATGCAGTCTTTTTAATTGGAAGTATTTATTTAGGCTTCATGTAGCTCATATAAGGTTACCCAAAATCGTTTGTAAATGGAAGTGGTAGCAACTACCGCTAATAGGTGGTCACATAGCAAGGTCTATAAAATTTATGTAACGTCCTGCTGAAGGTTTTCAACAGGGTCACAGGTGTCATGCTTGCTTTACTTGTGTTTCCTATTTGTAAGAAGACTTGTTCAAATACCGACTGTGGGTGGTTGGCAGGTGCTCTGGTGTGGTTTGCTCCTTCTTTCTTGTCAAACTGCTATCTTCTTTATCTCTCCTTCTTTTTTATGTTTTTTACTGTCTTGTAACACCTCTAATCTTCGGCACTTATATGACCTCATTGTGTTGCCAATGCAGTAAAACTCTTACTTAACCTAAAAAAAAAAAAATACAGACTATCTTTTGCTTGTTTGGGCCTATATTTTTCTTGTTTTTAAACTATTGTAATGAACAGAAAGCACTTTCCGTACTTCTGGTGTACTCATGCATTTTGACTAAGATTAAAACTTTCGTGGTTCAAACTTGGTTAGAGTCTGTCTATTATAACTTTGATATGAGGCTGATATATCATTGAAATTGTAGAAAAGCAGGTTTGTGTTAATGAGTTTCCCTGGTATGTGTACTTTTTGTCTTTTATGTACAGTGGAACTCGAATTCAACGAGAACTCAGATTCAACGAGAGGAGATGGATTCCCCGTTTTTTGTTCTTCTTTAAAATCAATAAAAATAACCCGGATTCAAAGAGCACTTAAATCGAGGTCGCTTCCAGGGGGAACAGCACCCACAGACGTGGCTTCGCTCATTTTTCTCCCAGAACGAGCGTTATCTATTCCCAGAAACCATCCCTTGCACCTACACGTGAACTATTTTCACTTAACCGATTGAAAGTGACCAATCAGTGGCCTTTATTCATACCAACACATGCGTTGCTGGCACGCGCACGTGTCTACTCTGGCATGTTTCGGGGTTGGATGAGCGACCTGCACATGTGTGACTGTGTCGGGGAGGGGGGGGGCACCAGCGGTCCGGGCGTTGAACGTCGCAGATACAAACGCGTCAGTCTTTTTTTTTCCCATCAGCATCTGATCATTGTTATATAAGCTAGTGATGACGTAGATCTACGTAGTGAATTGAGCGCTCGTCTATGGAATCAAAAGTTGTCGTGTGCTAGGCTCTACACAGCAACACAACTTTTTGACAAACAATCGAGATGACACAGGCGTGCATTTGAACGAATTGGTCTTCATAATATGCAGGCATTTCAGGCACTACTTGTTACTTCTCTTTACACATTATGTGCTCAGTGCCTGTAAAAATCTTCGTAAAACGTCATGTTTGCTATAACGAACACTAGGATTCAACGAGGATTTAGGTCAGGCCCGGCGACCCCGTTGAATCCGAGTTCCACTGTACAAGAGGCAGAGGTATTTTTTGTGGTCTCAGCGACCAAAATGTTACAAATACTTGTTGTGTTTGTTCCAAATTTAAAAAAAAATAATTTTTTAAAATCATGCTGAGGAAACTGCCATTGTATGTAGATGTTTTGTCTGACCTTATTCATCTTCATTTTCACAGCATTTTTACTCTTCTATTTTTGTTCCTTCCAAAAGTTGCCACGAAAAATTAGTGTTTCCATTAATTTACAAGCTTTCAACTCTCTGTGACAATATATTTACTGCAATATGTTGATAGAGGTAACTTAATCTAATGCACCAGAATTTCTTGTGCTCTGTTTTGAGCATCCAGAATATCATTTGTAGCCAAAAAGATTTGATGGAGACACACTTTAACAATACATTTATTTGTTTTAAAAAAAGGGAACAAGGTCAAATTAAATGACATTACGCAATATATAAACACAAAAAATAGAAAAACAACACCTCAGAACAATAACAAGAAAAAAAAAATTAACACACCAACAAATTAAAATTAAAACACAAGAAAGAGGAAAAAATAAAAGAGAAAAACAGCAATATAAAGAGTATGTAATGTGCTTAAATTTTTCACACGAAAATAACTATAGGCTACATGGACACCTTAAAATTATCAATTTTTATTCCCTTTTTTTTCCTAGATTTTTTATTCCCTGGCAGTGTCTTTTTTTTTGGTTTAAAAAATGCAACAGTCGCAGCTGCGGTTTGCGGAATTAAAAACTGCCAAAATCACAGCCGCGTTTCACGGGTCATGACCGCAACGAACGCAAATGCTAGTTTAATTAATTTGTTACTGTTAACCTCTGAAAGTTTCTCTCTACTCTATGGTTTATTGCTGTATATTTTTATCCTCTTCAGGGATGGCTCAAAAAAGCGGAAGAAACACAAAAAAGAAAAGAAGAGGAAGAAGAAGAAGAAGCATAAAAGAACTGAATATTCTGAAAGCGAGTCTGAAAGTGCCTCTTCAGAAGATGAAGACAAGAAAAAAGGACGAAAACGCAGAAGTGATTCTTCATCAGACAGTGACTCTGAAGGGGTTGAAGAAATGGACGTAAAACAGAGAAAAAAGAAAAGATACAGTTCTTCAGATGATTCAGAGGAGGAGAAAAACAGTAAAAAGAGCAGCAGAAAAAGAAGAGGTGATGACTCAACAGATGATGAAAACAGTGGACATGACAGAAAGAAAAAGTCTAAGAAACGAAAGCACAGACATTGAGATTTTTATGGTGACTGAATACAGTGTTGTTAATTAAGTATGGATTATCTAGTTGTATACTTGTGTTATTTGTATTGTATGTCAGACTGCGCTGTTGTCTAGTGGGAGTGACTTGAGTCGCTGTTTTGGGAAAATATTAAATAAAAGAGCATCACATAAACTGATTATTATTGTCAGCTTTCACCCTTCTCATCCTTTAGACCATGTAACATAGACTTTTGGATAATTGGCCTGTATGAGATCACTTTACAGAAACAGATCTCTGTAGCCTTTTATATAAACTAGGTGGGACCTTTTAAAAAAAACAAAAAACAATGGAATCCTTTTATAATGAGGGGGAGGGGACTGGTGGGAAATATCTGTTTTAGCAGGATTCTCGTTATCAGGGATCCAGTTATAAATTCAAGGAAAATAATAAAGTAGGCCTAATCTATGAGTTTTGTGTTCTGTTTATTTTTTTTTGTTATCTCCTGTATTTTCCTTGAACTAAAATTACTATTACAGTGGAGTCCACTTATAACGAGTCCTGAAATAACAAGAAGCCTGTTATAAGGACACTATTCTAAAACCCTGTTTTTTCCCCTTCTTTATATTTGTAAATAAAATACTGCTATTGCGCAATCAGACAGTAATGCGAGTCGGTTGTAACAGAATATTGCTACTGCTGTGCACAGCGCACAGAACAATTAAACATAATATAAAACCTCGCCAGTTGAGAAACTTGTTGGTGATTCAGCGAAACAAAGAATGGGGGAGCCCACGCGAACCAAAAATGAAGGTCGAAGCGAATGAGTAGGGAGGATGTGGCAAGCGCAGACAAGCAGAACGTATCACGTGATAGGCCAGTCTAGTCTAGATTATCTAGGCCTACCATGCTTCTCTCTTCTCTGGTGCAAGATGGAGAGGTCACAATGCTTTGATAGATGGAGTGAATGTGTGACGTGCGCAAGCAGGCGCAACGCACCACAGAGTGGGGTGGGGTGGGGTGGGGGACGACACAGCGGGCGAGTTTCAGTTAGCCCAGAGCCAGAGCCCCTTCTATCTGAGCGCCAACGTTGAACTGTCAACATTGCTAGTGCTAGAGAAAGAAACCTGATTCGATTTTTGATCAAGTAAGACTTACAGATAATGTTGAACAAAATCATCATCAGGGAAAATACAAAAAGGAATAAACGGAACCCCAAACTCATAGATTAGGCCTACTTTAACTTTACTATTTCCCTTGAATTTATTACTGGATCCCTTACAACGAGAATTCTGCTATAACGGACATTTCGCACCGGTCCCCTCCCTCTCGTTATAACAGGATTCCACTGTATTACTAAATATAAACGTTACGTTCGTGCGCTTCCTTTTTCCTCAGACTTAGGTACTTAATAGGATTAGGATGCTGGCCCATAGAACATTAACTTTTTTTGCTGGAAAAGTTCTGTTAGAATACGTTATATCGTTTCTGTTCACTATTACCCAAAGGAGTCAACATACAAAACTGAAATGAATGAATGCCAATCAGCAGACAAGATAATGCACTGTAAGTAAAAAAACAAACAAAAAACATATTATGAGGTGCATTATTCTTATGGTGGGTGTACAAGACAAAACGACTGAAAATTAAAAAGTTCTCAGATCTGCAGGGAAGTCGGTGTTTGGTGGGTGCTCTGGTGTGGTTTGCTTCTTCTTTCCTACTATCAAACATTTATCGTCTTTATCTCCCATCCTTCTTTTTTGTGTTTGGTACTCTCTTGTAACACCTCTAATCTTCAGCACTTATAAGTTAAAGCAGCACAGTTCTGGGATCCACCCCATTTTTTAAATACAGGTAACAACATGAATCTATGTAGGGGCAAGTGTTTTAGTTTTAGCGTCAGTTGGTAATTAGGAGTGCTTGAAGATAATGTGGGGTCTCTCGTGGCTTAGTGGTTAAGGTGTTCGCCTCTCATTCACAGGTTCCGGGTTCGAATCCGGGTAACGATGGAAAAATTTTCTTCTCTAAAATTGTCTCCTTTCATATTCTTTCCTGCTCTCTACAAATGTTCTGTCATCTGCTTTCGTCTCCACTTTCTACCCCCACCCCCTCACCTCCTTTGCCCCCTCCTCTGAGTTCCTGATACTGATTCTTTCTGCAGCCTTTCTACTGCGACTCGATCTTGGCTCCTTACTGTTGTCTTTCAGCCTCGCCCCTGTTCTCCTGGTAGGAAAGATCTAGATCTACACCAAGCCTTCTCGGACAAGACTAGCATCTGTGTTCATCGCAACAAAAAACCACCGCCGGGAAGAAAAAATAATTTAAAAACAACTACAACAAAAACTGGGAATAATATTCTTTAAAAATAGAAACCAAACCTCTTTATTTTCACTTTCGCTTTACTTCGTCTCTTTCTCACTTGTTAACACTACGTTGATTTGTAATTTTCATGTGAAGAACATAAGTAGACTACATTACATGCTACAGTGGAAACCATAGGCCCGGTAATAACAGGGATCTGGTAAAAACAGGGATTTTTAAAATCCCCGTTTTTTCCAACTCTTTGTCTCTATTAAAAGTTATCGGCAATAACAGGGCCTCATCGGAGCCCAACCAGTTATAGCAGGGACAAAGGCTCGTTAACAATACTCTATGTAAAAAGTGAGAGAGAGAGAGAGAGAAAAGCGGTGATGGAGCAAGCCCACGCAAGCCATGCCACTGCAAGCACACGCAGCGTATGAAGCGAGAGAGGGCTGCGGTGTGCTGCCGACTTTGACTTTGATCGAGCCCGAAACCTAGCAACAAGCATGCGTAATATGTCACCAACAATGTCAAATGCAAGAGAAAATGCCTTTCAATTGACAAAAATACGAAATAATCCAGGCTGTTGACAAAAAACAAGCTCAAATGGCAGAGATTTGTCATCAGTTCGACATTCCACTTCCACAAGGGTCGATTCGCACCATTATCAAGGATAGAGAGAAGATAGTGGCAGCATACTCCAATGGAAAGTTTGCTCTGAATCGAAAGAAGATGAGACTACCCGATGTAGATGCTGTAGACCAAGCTCTTCTGATGTGGTTTAAGTAGACAAGGAAAAATTTGGTGCCGAAACCCCTGTTCGTGGGTACTTGTGGCAAGAGCAACTACCCATGAATAAATACAGCTAGATTAGTCCACAAATGCTTACAGTGGAAACCTGGTATAACGGATGGTGGAAGTAGAGAAAATATCCTGTTATATCCGATCCCTGTTACATCAGAAATGCAAGGGGGGGGAAAAAACAACAAAAAAGTATTATCTCTGTAACTTTCAGCTGTAGATCTTGATCTAGATCTGGGAAAGAAAAATGTAAAAAAAAAAAAAGGACATCTGGACCTCTGATGCTGGCACATTACTAAAACCAGGAACACCTGTCAAACATGAAGCATCAGCAGACATGAGAACAACTTTTGATGGACTGAAAAATTGAACATGCTCAAGGAACAAAATCCCAAACCATAACCAAGAGCTTCTACCAAGGGAAATAACCAACTTATCACTTAAATAAGACTTATTACGGTGATTATTTTCCTTTAGTCATATGGCAAGGCGTTAATTTATAAAATTAATTGTTTTGTTAAATAAAAAAAAAAGGAAAAAAACGTGGGGAATCCAAAATTATGCAAATGTGCAGAATTACGCGGAAAAAAACAACACGGCCGCACAATCGCATAGTCCTATGGGGACAGCTTGTGTGTGATTCCATGATCTACATGTTAAACCCTGTACGTTTTCTTGAATTACACGCGTTTAGGGTTAAAACGGCCAGTCTATGGATGGGTTGACACACGCCCTTATTTGTTAATTTTTGTGATTGTTTATTTGCTGTTCTAATTTTGATGTCATTCTGTCGTGAAACCTTTATTTTGTACGTTTTTACACTCTGTGTGTAGGTGGTTGGCGGGTGCTCTGGTGTGATTTGCTTCTTCTTTCCTATGAAACATCTGCATGTATCGTCCTTATCTCCCATCCTTTTTTGTTTGTTTTGTTTTGTTTGTTACTCTCTTATAACACCTTTAATCTTCTGGTGCTCATATGACCTTATGCAGTTGCGATCGCCGTAAAACCTCTACACATGTACATGTACTAAAACTAAACACTTTGTGAGGCTGCAAAATATATTCTGGATGCTTAAAACAGAGTACAAGAAATTCTGGTGCTTTAGATGAAGTTATCTTTATCAACATATTGCTATATACGTCGTCACAGAGAGTTGAAAGCTTGAAAATTAATTATAATATTAATGATAATGGCAACTTTTGGGGCAAATTTTGTCATTTTTATGGCAACTTTTGGACAAAAAAAATGTCAACAAACGCAGATGCTAGACAAGAGCGAAAAATCCCAGAGATCCCGTGTGCTAGCTGCGCACGTTAAAGATCCTTGGGGGTCTAAAATCGATAAAAGAGCTCAGTAATAGTAGTAGTACATGTAGTCATGTAGTAGGCTTCGGCAGCCACCCGGGCAAAATTAAAAATTTCCTACCAACTGAAAGTGAAAGTTTAGTGTGTCCTACGCGCTCATATGATCTTATGCAGTTTCGAGCGCCGTAAAACATTTACCAAAGAACAAAAAAGAAAAAGAAGAAGATAATGTGACGTGCTTTAATGCAGTATGTATCAGCAGTACATACATGTATCAGGAAGGAAAAGTTCACTTTCAGTTGTCTGTTTCAAATATCCAGCAGTCCCCCAAAAGAGAAGGCATGAACTGAAGAAATTGGTCTCACCCAAAATGTTTGATGGTGTCTGTCTGCCCCCCTCTCTTTCTCTCTCTCTCTCTCTCTCTCTCTCTCTCTCTCTCTCTCTCTCTCTCTCTCTCTCCCCCTCCCCCCTCTCTCTCACTCACTCACCCATTCGCTTTCTCTCTCTCTCTCTCTCTCTCTCTCTCTCTCTCTCTCTCTCTCTCTCTCTTTCTCTCTCTCTCTCTCTCTTTCTCTCTCTCTCTTTCTATCTTTTTTTTTCTCTGTCTCAACTGTCTGTCTTTTCCTCTCTCTCTTTTTCATTCACATTCACACACACACACACACACACACACACACACACACACACACACACACACACACACACACACACACACACACACACACCCACACGCTCACACTCACACACAAACACACACACACACATACACACACACACACACACACACACACACACGCCGCACATGTGGAGAATAACAAATCAAGTTTTTCTTCAGCCAACGATTTCAGCTCAGAAACAAAAAATATGCACCGTAGTTAATTTGAAATAAAATATTTTCAAATAATGGGAGACCGTACATTTTTCAGAAGTGATTTTCCAGTAGTAGTAGGCTTTCCCCGACTGGCAACGGGGAAAAATATCGCATGCAACTTAATGTTATCATAAATAATCGTTTTCGTTCGTTGTCATAGTTGTACCTCATGGCGCTGCTCCTGTGGCGACAAGGTCGTGTTTTCATTACATAACTGTCCCCGCGGTTTTATACCCCAAATAATTTCTGAAATTATGCAAACTGAGGTCCCCTCCCCCATGTGAAATTATGCGATTCTATTAATTTTAACAAAGAATGATAAAAGAACATACAATGTACTCAGAAATTACGTTAAAAAAGATCAATTTTGCAGAATTATTTTATGCGGGGTGCATTAAACCGCTGGGACAGACATCGGCTCCAACTGCAGTGAGGGTACTGAACACACATTGCAACAAATAAGAGAGAGAGAGAGAGAGAGAGAGAGAGAGAGAGAGAGAGAGAGAGAGAGAGAGAGAGAGAGAGAGAGAGAGAGAGAGAGAGAGAGAGAGAGAGAGAGAGAGAGGAGAGTTTTACGCAGCGGGTTGTTCCAGCACGTGAGACATGTATTTTTTTGACTAATGTCTTGTCTTGTGCATATTCGTGGGTGCACATAACCTTTGTAACGTCTGCTGCCATTGTTAACAAAAAAGACAAATTTCTCCCTGTGAGATGAATAAAAATTGGCGTTGTCATTTTGTCATTGTCTGTTGCGGTCGGATTTGTTGGCGCAGAAACGACCGCCATACAACTTAACAATTGTTACAATTACAGGATATTACCGGTACATTAAAAGGCTACACATTGCAGATGTCAATAATGATACAGGGCTATCTTTTTTTTCCTCGGACAGTAACGGAACATTTGGGCACTGGTCTTTTGCTTTTCATGGTTTGCTGACTGACCGAAATTGTGTGGTCAATCTCATTTATGTTTATTTATCTTTTGGTTTTGGGAGGGTGGGGGTACATCTCCGTTGATTTGCCATGCACTCTAACTGTTCAGCACGTATTACAGACGAATCCACAGGCTCCTGAACTAGAACTCTAAATGTACTCAAAGGTCCGGAGTAGGCAACAATGTGTGTAGTGACACGAAGATTTTTTTTTTTTTAAAAACTTGATCTCTATGTTCATTGTTTTGCAAACAAGCTATCCACTATAAGAGCGCTTCGAGTTTTTGAAGACAAGGGAGACAACTCCCAAATTGGTTCAAAGAAACGGTGGAGTCATAGAGGCCTAGATCTATGCTACTGCTAGAGTTTCCATATTTTAGTGGTTTGGTAACCCCTCTCTACCGGTCCTTCAGTCACCAGAAGAGACGACAGCCTGCTTTTGAAGATCCTCTTGAGTGGTGTTGATTGTAAGTACCAAACGCTTTGGCAAGCTAAGAGTGTCACTGGAGAGCAAAAGAACAAAAATGGGAGATAAAATAGACTGCGAATGTCTCCAGTCAATTTTGTTCTTGAGTCTTTTACTTTATTGAAAGAGTCTGTTGACCGGCCCGTCTGCTATATTTTGAGGTTTCATAGAGTGGCAGGTCTGAATTATTATTTATTGGTGCCTTCCACTTGACTGCATTACCTTAATGTTTCTGATCTAGATCTAGATCTATATCTAGATCTATATCTATTTTTAAGACTTTTAGAATCTAGAATCTAGATTGACTAGATGATAGTAGATCTACTAACTACTAGAGTACCTGGCCCAACCCGCGACCACTTGTACTTGTCATATTTTGCTTCTCAGCGGTGTCTGTCGGCAAAATAGGTCAGGCAATCCATGTTCAGGGCCGCTTCAGTGTGTCAACTTCCAGTTTATACTGTTATATCGTCACTCTCACTCATTACAAAACGTCATTCGCAGATTTTGCATTTTAACATCTTAATGTTCTGCCCTTGGCGCGACCACATGCCCTCAGCGCGACCGCATACGGAACAGGGTGGGACCATGTGCGCACATACATAAAAGGTGCAAGAAAGTTGTTAGTACACTATTTAAAGGTTAGTACAATCCTTTCTTTAGCAAATTATGATGAAAACAATTATCTTATTAAAAACAGAGGGTAGAGAGACAAATGGTTGCGGGTTGGGCCAGCTACTCTAGTTCAGTAACTAAAGAAAACTTCTCAAAGAATGTTTCTGATATAAGCCTTTCACTTCGAACTCGACTGCTGCACTAGCAGACAACTGACGTACTCGGAAAAGGATTGACCAAAAGTGGAACTAGACAAGGCACGTAACTAAATTAAAACAGATTGTACACGAGTTGCACAAAAGGAAAAATGGGGAACTGGTCACGCTCAGGGCACGGTCGCGCCAAGGGCCGATGTCTCTAGATCTAGTTAGTTCTACTTGATGGTCTACAACCAGACCACTTGGCAACTTTTCCACTTGATGATTTTTTAGCCTGCTGCAAATCCACATTACTAGATCTACTTTTAAGCATTTCCCCGTGCATTGAATAGTTTTTGTATTGTAGAGTCTGCTTCCTCTTCATGTTCTTGCTCCATACACTAACTTGACTTACATAGTAGCCTGTTTATATTTCTTTCTCTGGGATTGATAAAGAGGCCTGGAATCGAAACTGCATAACAAGTTTATTTTATAAGTTTATTAATAATAATAACAGATAGCATTTGTATTGCGCAAATTCGCGCTTAACATCAAGCTCTATGGGCTTCACAATCTATATTATTACCCCAGCAGACCTGAGAGCATTCTGAAACAACCACAACTTCCTGGGAAGCATACAGTGCGAGCAGCCATTTATAGGCACTAAAATACTAACATACTGACAAGATCTTTGGCTGTCTATGGCCAGGTACCCATTCTCACCTGGGTGAAGTGAGGAAAATTTGTGTAAAGTGCCTTTCCCAGGGACATAATGTCGGGCCCGCGGACCCACAACTTCACGATTATGAGTCTGGTTGCCTAACCATTAGGCCACCGACGTCGGTGGCCAAGTGGTTAGGGTCTCAGACTCGCAACCGTAAGGTTGTGGGTTCGAATCCCATCAGGGACCCGACGTTGTGCCCTTGGGGAAGGATTTTGTACTAATTTTTCTCACTTCACCCAGGTGAGAATGGGTACCCAGCTATAGACAGTGAAATATCGTATCAGTTTGGTAGTGTTTGAGCGCTTAACTGCTTGCACTGTATGCTTCCCGGGAAGCTGAAAATGTTTCTGAGTGTTCTATGGTCTGCTGGGGGAATAATTATATTAAAGTGTAAAGCGCATAGAGCTTGCTGTAGAGCGCAGTTATGCACTATACATATGCTATTTATTATTATTAATTCTTCGTTGAAGTACTATTGTAATTTTTCCCCCCAGTTTGCCAGATTTAATTTTCTAAAGGACCTGGGTTTTTAGGTGTAACATTTTCTTGCCACAAAAGACAAAGAAAAGTTTCACACAAATGTACACATGTGGTATCATTTTAAGGAAAATAAACATTTTCGTCACACCAACTTGGAATAGCTCATCTTCACTGCTTTCTCTTACAAGACCGTCAGATGAATTTAACTCTTGATTATAGTCATCTTCAAAGTCCCCCCAAAATCAACAGCTTTGTATTCGCTCTTGAAACAAACTGGGACATTAGTCTTTTTATGACAATCGCTCATTTATTCTCACCTCTTGAAAAAAAAAAAGGTTCTGTATTAATTACAGGTCCGAATTGTCTGAAACTTTCTCAGAACCTTTTTTTTTTTCTCATCGATGTTGGAGGGAAATTGGATAGCAAATCGTTGTCGCTGATAATAGTAGAATTTTTTTGTAAAACAAAAACCACCGCAAATGCATATATACTGTACACGAAACTGATGTAAAATGAGACATGTGAATGGATGCTCCCATTGTTGCAAAGAGTATAAATGATATTTTTCTGGTGTTCTGGTGTGAATCCACTGGTGTCTTGAAATTGAAAACTGTTTCTGTTCTGGAAACAGTTGTTTTTTTTACTGTCATATATAATAAATATAAACTAGATGTTATTATTTCAGTTATTGTTCCTACTTTTATTTACCTTGTTTTTGCATTTTCACTTTTATTTTGGAACAGTGCTAATTTATATTGTTATTTCAGGTGCCAGCAAAGTGGATATACCTTCAAAGTCGAATACCTATTTGTTCTGATAATTTTTTAGAACCCGGTCCATTAGTCATCGTTTTCAGTCACATGACATGATGACAGCCAGCTACTGCAAGATAAGCATCTTGAGACTTTGTAGAGTTCATCCTAAGTGTTTGAGAGGATGCTCTGCCTCTGCTGTAGCATTTAGTCCAGTTCATGCACACTACTGCACCAGTTGTGTCGTGCCTGTGGTGGACAGAGACACATATTCGCAGGCTTTTGGTAATTCATCCTTTAGCTTGAAGTCTTATTCTTCAAATACCCGCGTGCCTCTGTCATATGTAAATTCACAGTTGCCTAAAAAAATACATGTTGGTATAAAGAGAGAAACTTTGACTACTGTGAAAATTAGGAATCAGTATTCTATTTTCAGACTTTGTAGACCAGTGTTATTGACAAATCAGTGTCCAACTTCATTACACCACAACCAAGGATCTACACGTAAAATAAGCAATATGGCAGCTGATGGAATCAAGCTTTCGTGGAATGTGAAAAAGGAGCAAATTGAAAAGGACACTGATGTTTTGATGGAGAGAGTGAAGACTGTGTATGATAGTGTTGGCGCTGTCAAGGATGATCAAGTGACCTTTGATAATGTGGTTAAGGTGAGTGAAGAAGATCAGGTGAAACAAGTAATTAGATTATCTTTTCTTTGAGTCGTCTTTACTTAGAATTTGTTGTACAGTATTAAACTGTTGCTGATTGAGTGAAGAAGATCAGGTGAAACAAGTAATTGTATTCACTTTTGTTTGAGTCGTCGTTACTTAGAATATGTTGTACAGTATTATACTGGTGCTAATTGCTTATTACAAAATATGGTTATGTGAACATGTGAGATTTTAATGTTTGCAATGGAGGGCTGGTTCGGAATGGTATTTTTTAAAAACAAAACAACAGCACCCTTTTTATTTCACAGATATGTTCTTTTTAAAAAGATGGGATAAAAGTTTTCTTCTTTTTATTAAAGCTTATGAATGTGATTGTTTGTGAATTCTTCCCATGCTTTTCTGTTTAAATGGCCCATGCCTGAGCATAGGTTACTTTTTTTCTTCACCTTACTGAATGCATGCCTGGGTGTGTGGTGGTATGAATCTGACAGTTAAAGGCTGAGATGCATGGAGTTTTTTCGGCAAAGGGGGCAAGGGCTGAAAAAATTTTAATAGATCATGCTGTACGAAAAAAAATGTGATAATGAATGTTGAATGACAAAGAAATAACTACATCTTAGGATATTCATGACATTTCAAGGATCCAGGACCTGAGGTAGGTGCTACTGATAGATGATGATAATTAATTTAAACCTTCTGCCATCAGCAGCTCTAGTAGCGAAATAAAATCCAATATGAGACTTCAAGAATTTCTGGTAATATCATGCACAGGCTTCTTTTATTCTTTCTTTCTTTTCCTAGATTGTTCAGTCCAACCATTTTGTCAATTTTTTTTTTCCAGTTTAAAAATAAATCATTCCTTCTTTTAAATCTGTTTCTTTTTTTTTTCTTTTTTTTTTTTTGGGGGGGGGGGGGGGGGTATATGTTTGTTGGTTTTTTTTTTGCTGTGAGACAATTGTGTTTGAATAGTAATAGGGTTATGTTCAATGAAACTAATTTGTTGTGGTTTTATAGAATATAAAATTCAACAAAAAATTCTCATTCTTGCTCTTGTTTCAACAGGCAGCTGCTGACTGCGACTGCTGGTATGCGGTAGAAAGGAACAACATTGATTTCTTTCAACACGTTTCACCAAGTAAAGAATTGAGAGACGCAAGTGTTGCTGCTGACAAGAAGCTTTCAGAGTTTGATGTGGAGCTGAGGTACTGTTTCTACATACTGTGACCTGCACTTTAAAAAACCTCTCATTATATATTATGTATTTGGCAACTTGGAAACACAATATCACTTTTCCCATAAAACTAAAACAGCTACAGAGTTGAAAGTTGGCAAGTACCTGCAAAAAGATAGACAGGTCCCCATGACGGAGCCCGATTTTTTATTTATTCATTTCCTGAATTTAGAAAAATATATTTGACAAAACGTTCGCATCCTTCTTTGGCCTTTGTGATTATTCCACTGAGAAACGAAAAAAATCTGCATAGCTATCCTGTACAGCGGAAGTGCCGGAAGTGATATTTCGTGAGGCGCATTTTATTTTGAGAGTATAGATACCTTCTAATTTTTTGCATCTCTCAAGATTTCTTGCTCCATTCCAGTAGAGTGTAAATTTATTATCTATTTGTGGTGGCCGAATTTTGCTATTCAAAAGGCTTTTTAATGGCTGCATCGATCGACATGCGGTTTTCACCAAAAGATTCTTTAAAATATTCTCCAGATCATGACACCCTTCGTTTTTTCAGTTTTGAGACAGTTTTGCTGCAAAAAGCTAAATTTCTTTATTTCGCCGATCACTTTTGTAGGCCGATGTTTCTGTCTCTGTAATTTTAGAAAATCTGCCCGGTTTGTTTATTTCAAGTCGTACTTCCATTCGATACTATCGCGCATTGTCGCGCAATACTGAGCACTATTTTAAGTGTGCGACCCGTACTGATCTGGCCTCATGTTTTCTTTTTTTTTTACTTGATGCTAAATTTGACTGTGATCCTTTCGTTTGATGCCCATCATCGCTTTTTCTTGACTCCTTTGTCAAATTCTTTTTCTTGCTGCTGGGAACAATCAACACGCTTCTATACAACCGTGAAAGCGGAATAGAGAATCAATCTATGCATCTATTATATATTTGGCTACTTGGAAACACATGTGTCACTTTTCTCTCAAGATTTATTGCTCCATTCCAGTAGAGTGTAAATATAGTAGAGCAATGATATTCAGTTGATGTTAATGCATCGATCATTCCTTTCATCGAAAGGGGGCCCAGCTAGTATAATATAGTAGGCCAATGACTTTCAGTTGATGTTAATACACCGATCATTCCTTTGATCGAGAGGGGGCCCAGCTAGTATATATTTATATATATATATATATATATATATTATGGAGATGAAAAAGCAAAAAAGAACTTTGGTGCATTTAAGAATATTTTCTTCACTGAATTTTTTTGTTTGCACTGAAAGATGTCTCTAAAAGCGGACAGATTGAGACAGTCTAATGAGGCAATGTCACTCGCTAAGACACATCTTGTTTTGGATGTACTTCTTTTGGTGGGCTAGTTATCATGGCTTGAGTTCTACCATAAAAAGAAATTAATTGAGGAGACTGGTAGCTATCCATTGTATAGAGGGTAGAAGTCTGTCTACAATTTTCCAGTTCCCCAGTTGTTGTAAAGAGTTTTTTTTACATATATGTGTATGTGTGGGGTGGGGGGGGGGGGGGGGGAGATGGTTAGTGTTTTTATGTGTAGAGGTCAATCACAGTCATTTAACTGGTGCTCTGGTGTTGTTTGCTCCTTCTTTCCTATCAATGCTATCGTCCTTCTCTCTCCTCCTTCTTTGTGTTTGTTACTCTCTTGAAACACCTCTGATCTTCAGCACTTATATGACCTTATTGTGTTGCAAATGCCGTAAAACTCTTACTAAAACAAAAAAACAGTCATTTACTATGCTTTGAAACTGTTGGTAATCAAATCTTGGACTGACAACATGACGAATGAAATCTGTCTTCTCTTTACAGTATGCGACAAGATGTTTTTGATTCATTTGTGGCTGTGGAGAAATTGCCAGATTTCAAGTCATGGAAACCTGAATCAAGACGCTTTGTGGAAAGAGTTATTAAAATTGGAAAAAGGAATGGTAAGCATTTATGCAGAACGAAGACTTAATGTGTCCATGTGAGGAAATGAGGTTAAGAGAGCCCTTTATTTGTCTAGGAATTTCAACAAAAATATATGAATATAAAGTGATGTCTGATGCTTTACAGTTTTGCATCTATTTCACAAGACTACTGTGGAACTTGGATTCAATGAGGTTGCCGGGCCTGACCTAAAATCTCTAGTGCTCATCATAGCAAACATGAGGTTTTGTGTAGATAATTACAGGCACTGAGCAAGTAATGTATTAATAGAAGTAACAAGTGGTGCCTGAAATGCCTGCATATTAGGAGCGGTGCAAAAAAATGACATAATCGTTCAAATGCACTTCTATGTCATCTTGATTGTTTGCCAAAAAGTTGTGTTGCTGTGTCGCCCATCCGACCCCGACACACACTAGGCCTAGAGTAGACACTTGCGCGTTCCAAAATGCATGTGTTGGTATGAAAGAAGGCTGCTGATTGGTCACATGCAATTGGCTAACTGAATAATAGTTCACAATGCAGGTGCAATGGAAAGTTCCCGGGAATAGATAAAAGTTCGTTGTTGGAGAAAATTGAGCGAAGCCACGTCTGCAGGAGCTGTTCACCCTGGAAGCGACCTCGTTGAATTAGAGCTGGCTGATTTAAGTGCTCGTTGAATCTGGGTTATTTTTATTGATTTTAAAGAAGAACAAAAACCCGGAATCCATCTCTTCTCGTTGAATCTGAGTTCTCGTTGAATCCGAGTTCCACTGTACTATGTGTCTGATTCCCATGTGGATTAGCTACTGCTGTCTGTGGTGCAGTGGTTAGGTACTTTCTGTCACACGCTGGAGACCCGAGTTTCATTCCCAAGTGGAGATAATTGTTTAAATTGAATCTTAATTGTTCAGATGGGATGTTATATCGCTCACAGTCTGAGTTGGCGCTGACAGGCAGTGGCAAAGCCCAACTTTTAAATTATCTAAATGTGTCGATGAAGATGTGAAAACACGCACATTTAAAAGTTTCTCTGTCTTTTTGGTCTATATTGTGTGGTATCTCTTACAGCCTGATTGAGATAAATATTGTGAAATGCTTTTTTTTTTTTTGAGTGATTAAGGTATAAAAATTTTGCCATACAATTTCTTACTAAGATTTGTGCGTGCTTCGTTAGAACGAGTACAAAGAACAATGGAGTTCTTATATTCGACTGTGGTTGTAGAACAAAGGCTACCTTTGATTAAAAAAAAAATTTTTCAGTTGGGATTTGTTGTCTGTTTCAATATTGACCCTATCCGTACGCCCTGGGGTCATTTTGTACCTCCGGGGTTGTATTCTTCACATTTTAGAATACTTGTAGTACGAAGATCTCTTTGGAACTTTCAGTATTTCTCAAAAAATCATTTTGACAGACTGTTATGCAAAGCGTACTGATCGGATTAATGAGTACATTTCCTCTTTGAAAGTGGAGGCACAGAGTACCCCACGTCGTATGGATACGATAGTAAAACACGACGTACGGATAGGGTTAACTAGTCATTCACAGTAACTTCTGGCACATCATTCCAATGTAGTCAATTTCTTTAGGTTGTGGTGGCAGTACTCTTATCGCTGTGATTTCTTTTCTTCAGGCTTACATCTTCCAACAGAAATTCAAGAACAAATAAAAGGAATAAAAAAACGCATGAGTGACCTCTCCATTGATTTTAGCACCAATCTGAATGAGGAGAGTACCACCATTGAATTCAAGGAGGAGGAACTTGGTGGGTAATATACTGTATGAAGCAGTTTTTTTCTCTTCTTGTTTTTACTGTGCATTTTCTTCCCTTTATTTGATTAATATTATTTATATTGCTTTATACAGAAAAGGAATTGCCTTTGATGTTTTTGAAAGCAATTGAAATATGAAAAAGGATAAAAGTTGAGTACACATGGAGGGAGTGGCATCCAAAAGTTAAGAGGTATTTCAAAGCTTAACTCTTTGTCTCTTTATCCAGTAAACCCACCTCGCCGGGGCCGTTTCTTGGTGCTAAATCCAAAAATGACAAAAACGTCACTAAATGGGTCATTAAATCGAAACTAGCAAACCTATTTTGATAGTTCTTTATCTAATGAATGAACTTCCGGTTGTTGTTATCGATCCAGAAACTTCCGATAAAAGAGACCTGTTTTCGGTGAAAAATAATTTGATGGCGAAGTCGTAAAGGAGTGTGCCCAAGCTGCTGTCACCGGCACAGCGGCTCTGACCATGAGTCGCTGGGAGCGGCTTGCTGGAGATAAAAAGTTCAGGAAATTCAATCGCCAAGAAAAATATTACAAATACTACAATTATTTGTTATCTGAAACATTTTCTGAGGAGTTGATTTGAGAACAAAAGAGTGAAAATTTGAAATACAGCCTGATGAAATTAACAAAACTGGGCAAGCAAAGGCTGATATGGACAGGGAAGACTAGAATGATATGGAATGGTTTATCATATTTCCCTTCACTACTTTCCCTGAGAAATTCCTCTCATGATGGACTCGTGTCAGATAGTCACATAAATGTGAGAGGGCTGCACTTTGTCTTTCCTCGTATTGTTGCATATATATGTATTGTCAATAACTGCCACTTTTATAGCTATCTCCGCTGTGGCAACCTTCCAAGAGGGGATTTGGTCGCTTTTAAGGACAAGCGGGCTAACCCATATTTCGGGGTTTCCAGAAATCTTGACCAACACTAAAAGTGGGCATTGCCCTACATATAGGAGAAGTTTAGTTTCATTGGTGTGTATATTTGCTAGAGAAAACTCCTCCTTGTCTTTTAAAGAAACTGAACAAGGGGCTAAAACTTTACCTTCCATTTTCTCAAAACAGCATTTTTCGGGATAGCCCCCTTGTGCTTAACAATTAACCTTTTGTACACTCCTATATGCGTTACAAGATTGTTTTTTTTGTTGTTTTTTTAAGTTGATTTGTTTCTGTTCTCTTGAAAATATTAACATTATTCCTGTTAGCAGTAACAATTTAGTTTGTTAACAATGGACGGTTTCATTTACAAAATGGTGGTGTGGTGAGAAAAAAAAAAGAATTAGCCTTCGTCTCATGCTAGAAAGAAATATGAAGCCTTTTGTACATTAACTGTAATAATGTATTTCAGTTGGACTCCCTGAGGATTTTGTCAAGAGTCTTGAAAAGGTACGTATTTTTAAAAATTTGTTCATAGTGCCAACTTGATGCATGTCCTATTTATAATTCTAGAAATAGATATTTTCAGGCCCTTAGGGACAGCTTTCCCCACAGAAATTCTTCATAAAACCACAAATAGTACTTTGTTTCAAGGTTTGAATTGAATTCAACTATCTTATTTCGAGGTATCTGAGAGTTTCTCTCCACTGCGCACTTAACTTTTTACAAAACTCATAAAAAATTATGGTTTCGAAAAGCACTTCCACAACAGTAAGATTGACAGTAGTTAGTAGTAAAAGATTTCTAGGAAATATATGTAGCCGAGCTTGTTTGTACTTTTAGTAATTCTGTTTTTTAAATCTTATCTGAGGGGGGGGGGGGGCTCTTGTGGCCTATAGAGGTTAAGTTGTTCGCCTTTCATTCAAAGGTCCCGGGTTCGAATCTGGGAAGTGACCGAAACATTTTCTTCCCTAAAATTGTCTCCTTTCACCTCCTTTCCTGCTCTCTAGCAACATTCTGTCGTCTGCTTTCGTCTCCACTTTCTGCCTCCACCCCCTCACCTCCTTTGACCCATCCTCTGGGCTCTTGACTCTTTTTGCAGTCTTTCTACTGTTACTCCTTACTCCCTTCTTACAGCTGTCTTTCAGCCCCACTCTTCTGGTAAGAAAGATCTACACCTAGCCTTCTCGGACAAGAGCGAAAAATCTCGGAGGTCCCGTGTTCAAGGTGAACACGTTAAAGATCCCTTGGTGTTCTAAAATCGATAAGAGTAGGCTTCGGCCGCCACCCAGGCAAAATTCAAAATTTCCTACCTACTGAAAATGTTTAATGTGTTCCAGGCACTCATATCACCTTATGCGGTTGCGAGCGCAGTAAAACACTTGCCAAAAAAAAGTCTTATCTCAGTATGACTTGCCTGAAAATTCTACAGTTTTAATATTGTTTTCCAAATGGCAAATGGTATTCTGTGATTAAGATTTCGATTTACAGAGAGGCTGTAACTGATTTTGTGGAAGATAAAAGCAGGTTTGTTTGGTTTGTAAGAATTATTTTCCAAAATTTAAATTCTCCTTAGGGATCCGATGGCAAGCTGAAAGTGACTTTGAAATACCCCCATTACTTCCCATGCATGAAGAAAGCAAGAAATCCAGAGACCAGAAAGATAATGGAAACTGCTTTCAACTCAAGGTAAATATTTCTAATATGCAGTCATTTATTTTCAGGTACTAGAAAATCAAGTTTGTCAAATCAGAATAAATTTGTCAATATTTTGGACAAATAATAAAATGCCAGACACTGATGTGAGGATTACAATTTTATTTCAAGAAAATCCTTGAGGACGTATTGTTGAATTTGACCCATACTTTTTATGGTATATAAGCCAGCTGATTGCTAAGTGTGGTGTGAACTTTAAGAATAATGCTTAAGCAAAAGCGAAAGAGAATAAGGTACATATTATATTTTGTAATATAAATGATCAGGTGGATTTCATTGCACTCAGATGACTTCCCAGACCGTAGGATCTTACATGATCATTTTTAACATTTTTAAGATTGATCCTTCTGCTTCATACACATACAGTTGATCTCAATTGTTATAGTTAAATCACCCAACTTATCAATACACTGATATAAAGTTAGTTGTATTGTTCTTGTGTTATTTATCTTGCCGCAGCTTTGGAATTTTGTGTCTGTAACTGTTTCTATGGAAAATAACTGCAGGTGTGTTTGGTTTTTAAATATTATTTCCCAAAATTGAAATTCTCCTTAGGGATCAGATGGCGAGCTGAGAGTGGAGAGTGAGAGGAGGGACAGGTCATGAGAAAGACAGACATATTTTACTGATATATATACCCTCCCAAAAAATTATGTTCCAGATGTATGAAAGAAAACACACGTATACTAGAGGATCTTGTCCGCCTGCGGGATGAGGTAATTTCCCCCCTTTTTTTTTCGTTCTTGTAGCTTTGAAGGCATGTACTTACAACTGGTCGCTTTTAAGGACAAGCGGGCTAACCCAGATTTCGGGGTTTTCCAGATATCTTGATCTTCACCAAAATTTGGCATTGTCCTACCTATAGGAGAAGTTTGGTCTTAGCGGTGTGTATATTTATTTGGTTATTGAGAAAACTCTCCTTGTCTTTTAAAGAAACTGAACAAGGGGCAAAAACTTTACTTTTGATTTTCTCAAAACAGCATTTTTCGGGATAGCCCCCTTGTGCTTAAAAGTGACCAGTTGTTTTGTATTTTGTAACTCACTTTACAGAAGTCTTATTGTATTGTATTGGCTGACTTTAATTCAGTTTGTCTTTATTGATTGTAGAGTTTTATGCTTGAATAAGCTGGATTTCATGTTTGATTTGTATGTTAAGTTAATATAATATTGTGCCATCTATAGTGTAGGAGTTTGTGCTTAGCTCTGGACTGTATCATTCTCTATTTTCTCCAAGAAAAGGTTGTTAGATACATTACTGTTAATCGTCTTTATCTCTCCTCCTTCTTTTTTATGTTTGTACACTCTCTTGGAACACCTCTAATCTTCAGCACTTCTATGACCTTATTGTGTTGCAAGTGCTGTAAAACTCTCACAAAAAACCCCCTAAACAAACATCACTGATATTGACATGTTTTTTTTTAATTTGAAAGAGATCATTCTTGGGCAAGTGTATTTGATACTCTTTTTGCACATTTTTCAATAGCATGTAGAAGGTCATGCCTTTTGTTCTCTTTCTTTATTATCCCTTAATTTATCAGAAAGCAAAGTTGCTTGGCTACCCAACTCATGCTCACTATATACTGGAGATGCGCATGGCAAAGAAACCTGAGATTGTGGCTGAGTTTTTGTCATCATTAAAGGACAAGCTGCAAGCACTGAAGAAAGAGGAGTTGGACTTGTTTCGGCAGTACAAGAAGGAGGAGGTTAGGCTACAGGACTCGTAATCGTGGGGTTGCTGGTTCGGGGGTTTGAGGTTAGGCTACCGGACTCGTAATCGTGGGGTTGCTGGTTCGGGGGTTTGAGGTTAGGCTACCGGACTCGTAATCGTGGGGTTGCTGGTTCGGGGGTTTGAGGTTAGGCTACCGGACTCGTAATCGTGGGGTTGCTGGTTCGGGGGTTTGAGGTTAGGCTACCGGACTCGTAATCGTGGGGTTGCTGGTTCGGGGGTTTGAGGTTAGGCTACCGGACTCGTAATCGTGGGGTTGCAGGTTCAGGGGTTCGAGGTTAGGCTACCGGACTCGTAATCGTGAGGTAATCGTGAGGTTCCGGGTTCGGAGGTTCGGGGTTAGGCTACCGAACTCGTAATCATGGGGTTGCAGGTTTGGGGATTCGAGGTTAGGCTACCGGACTCGTAATCGTGAAGTTGTGGGTTCGGGGGTTTGAGGTTAGGCTACCAGACTCGTAATCGTGAGGTTGCGGGTTCGGGGGTTCGAGCCGCAGGCCCGACATTGTGTCCTTGGGAAAGACACTTTACACGAATTTTCCTCACTTAACCCAGGTGGGAATGGGTACCCGGCCGTAGGCAGCGAAAGATCTTGTCTGTGTGTTTTAGTGCCTATAAATGGTTGCTTGCACTGTATGCTTCCTAGGAAGTTGAGGTTGTTTCAGAATGCTCTGAGGTCTGCTGGAGTAATAGTCCAGATTGTGAAGGGCATAGAGCTTGCTGTTGAGTGAGGATTTACGCTATACAAATGTTATCATTTATTACTATTATTCTGTCTCAGACAGTTACAGTTTGCCTTGTGGGTGGTTGGCGGGTGCTCTGGTGTGGTTTGCGTCTTATTTCCTATTGAACATCTGTCGTCTTTATCTCCCCTTCTTCTTTTTTACGTTTGTTACTCTCTTGTAACACCTCTAATATTTTGGTGCTCATATGACCTTATGCAGTTGCGAGTACCGTAAAACCTCTACTAAAACTAAACTAAAACAGTTTGCCTTCTTGGTTCTTTTAGTCCACCTAGCACTCATGGGCACAGTGGAACACAGATACTCCAAACACTGGGTGGCAGAGCCTTGGTCCTGCTCAGGTTTAATTTTTATTAGTGGGTGGTTGGCGGGTGCTCTGGTGTGGTTTGCTTCTTCTTTTCTTTCAAACATCTATCGTCCTTATCACTCCTCCTTCTTTTTCGTATTTGTTACTCTCTTGTAACACCTCAAATCTTTGGCACTTATTTATATGACCTTAATGTATTGCAAGTGCCGTAAAACACTTACTAAAACTAAAATTTATTAACTATGTGAATTAAGTAAAAATGTCAGTTTTTTCAATGTTATTCTCATAGAATTTAAGTTGTGTTTATCAGTGCTGATAGATCTTTTTACAGTGGCTCTGGATACTGTGCAGGTACTGTTGTGATAAAAAGAATAATCATATTGCCTTATATTAAAGAACTAAAGTAAAGATGATTTAATGTAGTTTGTTCATCATTGCATACATTCATTTTGATTTATTTTATTTTGTCTTGCACTTTTTTTTCTTCATTGTCTGCTCAACCAATAGTTCCCAAGACAATTTTATTGTTGTTGTCAATCTAGCAGATCTGCACTTTTAGTATTCTGTTTAGTTCCTAGACTTTTGGCTGTAGCTTTTAAGGAATGTTATGTTTAAAAACAGAATTTGTCTATAAGACTTGCTGTAGAAAAGCTGATAACTCTTCAACAGTATTTGGGTACATACTACAGAACGAAAATTGGAGTACTTTTTATGTATAGACTATAGATTTCTTAAAAAGGAATTAACTGCCTTTACAACCAGAGCTGTCCTGAGCTTTTCTAAAATGGAAATTTTACTGCTCTTCGTGTTCCAGTGTGAAAAGTACGGATTCCCTGACGATGGTCAGATCAATAACTGGGATCTCCGGTACTTCATGAACATGGCAGAAGAAAAGAAGTACGCTGTTGATCAGCAAAAGCTGAAGGAGTATTTCCCCATGACTGTTGTGACCAAAGGGTTGTTGAAAATATATCAGGTAAGTTTTGCTGAGGTGGTAATATCGTTCACAGTATCTTCTATTTCTGTAATTTTCAGCTTTTTGAGGAGGGGGGGGGGGGGGGGGGCTGTTTTATGTTGTTGATTTTTTCCTGTTTGAAAGTGGCATGAAAAAGCCCCACAGTGTAACTCAAAAGAGCCCTGAATTGTATTTATGTCGGTTGTGTACTGGATTTTTTTTTCCTTTTCAATTTTCTTTTTATAGTTTAGAAAAAATGTGTATGATTTTAGAAAAAAATATGTTTGATTATGTAAAGAAAACCCAGCATATTTTCCATTATTTCATGATGTACAGTCGAACCTGCCGTGAGGGCCAACTGTACAATACGGCCACCTGTACGAACGGTCACTTTCAATTTCCCCCCTTTCGTTTTTTCTATAATAATTTAACTGTAAAACGGTCACCTGTCAAACTTGGCTGCGGCCACCTTATTTTATCAACTCACATTCAAATGTGCCTGCCTCATGCGGCAAGGCGTGGTCACTCATTGCCTGACGCTTTGTCATAAATTTTGAATTCGCCCCTCACACTGTGGACGGGCTGTCATAATTCATTCACCTGTCATTATTGTTTTAGTCCCTCCAGTGAATGTTTACATAGGTACCAGAAACTAAATTTTCGATGTAGCTGTATGCCAAATTTATCTGATTTTGGTACCATTCTTTAACCTCTCAGTCAATTTTTAAGAAAATGATGGTTGTTTAAAATTTGATCAAATTTGTTAAAGTCAGTCACTGGCTGCAACCCCATGTTTGACAGACAATCCAAAAGAGTACCAAGTGCACTAAACATCTCCACATTAACAGAGTACAATGACAATAATAAATATATGGAGCCTAATTTTTTTCAAGACTGTGAGATCATTACAAATATGTATTTTATTACTTCAAACACGATGATCTGTCGTTATTTCAACAAAAACAGTGAGCGTTGACCCGGCCGACGCCGCACCGGCCCCCGCGGCGAGCGAGTCGGCTTGTACTGTAGTGTACCCCGCGTGGGGGGTAACATGCTTTCTGAGTTTCGCGGAAGGATTGATGTAAAATATTTCCAAGCTGATTACTTTATTCTAATAGGAAATAAACTGATCTTTTCATTCATACCTTTTTTAAGCCGGTATTTTACATATTTTGGGTAAAAAGTGATCTTTAAAAATTTTGACAGCATTTTTAAAAGCTTTCTATTTAAACGACAAAGTTCAAATATACACCACGGGAAAGCCCGTTTAAAGTGCTACAGTTCTCCACCAATGAAAAGGCAGTATTTAATCATCGCTCGTTCCGCGAACAATTTGAATGCACGCGTGTCAATTTTTTAACCGGCCGACCACGCATTCCGACCGCGAGGGGCTTTGCATTCGTCTGCGATTCTCCAGCTCCTAATAATCGGACATATAAACAACTTACACCATTGTAACGAGGAAAAGCTGAACTTTTACAAGGTGTACGGCATTTGGTGTTTTATAGCGAAAGAGCAAAGAAAGAGCAATCGGAATTACCCCGATTTCACCGATACCACGTGGTCGGAAGGCCGCGAGTGCCCGCGAGGCCGTGTTTACGCTACCTAGTTTACCTCAGTTGACCAATGGGTAAGCCTAACAATAAATTTTCAACTGCTGGTGAGGGAAGCGTGATCCATCATAACCTATAAGCCCTGCCTTCAACTCATGCACAGTTTGTGTGTGAGGTGACTGGTCACTGTAACAAAGTAACAATGGACATTGATATGACTTGCAATTGCAACAGAAGCTTTGCTCATTCTCCAAGTGGTGGCGACCCGTGTGTATGTTTTACCATGGCACTCAGTCTTCATCGTCTTGCTTACATAATGTTTAATTAATTGCACAAAATCAGCAACAAAACGAAAGCTTACCAAAAAACAAACCAACAAAACAAAACGTATTTTGAAGCCAGCCAAGCGCTCTTGCTACGGGTCATTATAGGGTATTAATGTCAATAATTGTTTGAATACGTTTTGAAGTGCATGCCTGTCTTTGTTTTCAGGACTTGCTTGGACTTGTGTTCACCCAGATTAAGACAACTGATGTTTGGCATGAAGATGTTACCCTAGTAAGTCTCCTGCTTTTTATTTTGTGTGCATCTGTTTGTCAATTTCATGCATCGATAAAGTACAGACAACTGTTGTGTACCAGGGAAATTCTGTTCCTTGTATGCAAAAGATGCAAGTTTTATTAGGCATTTTGGAAAGTTCTTTTTTAAAATTGAGTTTCTCCTTTGTGCTGGGATGCTGTATCCCACTCAGCCTAGGTTGGCTCTGGTGGGCTGGTTTAAGTCAACTAGCCTCCTGAATTCTTATCGTTTTGTCAATGATACTGAGAGAGTTCAGCTTTTGCAATGATTGACTGACTCAGAGTTAACCAAGTGACCTTCTGAAAATTGGAAGATAATATTTTGGAAGGATGAATGTTGCAAGTCATATGTTACCAATGGTACTCTCTGACAGTTTTCGGTACCAATTGTTTATCTTAATTTTTCACCCTTGTCCGAGAAGACTAGGTGTAAATCTTTCCTACCATAAGACCAGGGGTGTGGCTGAAAGAGAGCAGTAAGAAGAAGCCAAGGAGAGACAGTAGAAAGGCTGCAGAAAGAGTCTGGAGCCCAGAGGAGGGAGCAAAGGAGGTGAGGGGTGGGGGCAGAGAGTGGAGACGAAAGCAGATGATATAACATTGTTAGCGAGCAGGAAAGGAGGTGAAAGGAGACAATTTTAGAGAAAAACATTTTCCATTGCTACCTGGACTTGAACCCGAGACCTTTGAATGAGAGGCGAACACCTAAACCTCTAGGCCACAAGAACACCCCCCCCCCCCCCCCCGGCTATGTTTCTTTCTGCAGGATGTACTCTAAATGTACACAATTTTGTGTGTGTGACTGGGAAAATAGTCTTCATGTCACAAAGGCTAATTTAGAGAACATTCGGGAAATAATGAAATTTCTTTTTTTTTGGTGGAAATTTGAGACTCGTAAGGATATCAACCATTGTTCTCCATCCTCACAAAATATTTCACGTATATTCTTCTTCTAGTATGTTTTTAAAAGTTTTTTAAAAAGCATCCATTATGTAGTATTACGAAATAATGTTGATTTTTGACATTTTTCTCAAAAGTAGTTGGTGCACCCCTCACTCACAATCGTGACCATATCTCAAAAACTGTTCGAGGTATCTGAAAAATTTTAAGACAGAAACACCATGAAAGGCTATTCTATACAGAAATGCAATAAACCGCAATAGTAAAAAAATTGCACATGTGGACCCATTTCTCAGGCACGCACATCTAGAATAGATATTGCATACTGCAGACTATTCAACTGTATCTAATAGTGAACCTCTGACATCTCATAGGAAAGGAAAAATGAAAATTTTGTTATATCTTGAAAAGTCACAATAACAGTACAGAAGTAAAGTACAGTATTACAAGAGTAACTTTTGTAATGTGTTTTTGCCAAGCATGTAACAACCGAATGGAATGAAGAATCATAATTCTGTTGATATGATTTTGTTTAGAAAAGCTCACAGTACTTTTTCAATTTAAGATTATTACACTGCATTTTTCTTGCTGCAAGTGCCGTATAACTCTTACTAAAACTAAAAAAACGTTTCTGTGCTGAAGTTTTTGAGATAATGAAGATTTGAAATATGAATTGCGGAAGTACCTAACGCGCGACACATTTTTCTTACAGTACAGCGTCAAAGACAAAAAGACGGAAGAGATCATTGGTTACTTCTATCTAGACCTGCATCCACGAGAGGGAAAATATGGTCATGCTGCATGTTTTGGCCTTCAGGTAAATTACTTTTACCCTATCTGTACGCCCTGGGGTCATTTTGTACACCCGGGGTTGTATTCTTCACATTTTAGAATACTTTTAGTACGAAGATCTCTTTGAAACTTTCTGTATTTCTCGAAAAATCATTTTGACAGACTGCCATGCAAAGTGTACGGATCGGACTAGCGAGTAAATTGCTTCTTTGGAAAGTGGTGGCACAGAGTTACCCACTTTGTATGGATACGATAGTAGAACACTACGTACGGATAGGGTTAATAATGGTATGTTTTGATTTTTACCAATATAAAAATCCTTTTCCAGCATTAGAGCTTTGTTGCTGTGAGTGTCACTCCATATAGGATGAAAGTTGGTTGTGATATTTGATATTTAGTTTTTAAAAATAATTTCTCTGAAGTTATATTATGTTTCAAGCAACGGTTTGTGTCTCCCCTTTTGAATATGGTGTCAACTTTCTTTTCTACTTACACTCAAACTGATAGTGAACATTAGAAATGTGATTTGATCTCAGTAGCGTCGGATACTTTTAAGGGAGCTTTGCTTTCTCTTCCATTGATGTTTTATCTTTGTTATTTTCCACTTCCCTGACTAGCCCGGCTGTTTGTCAGCCGATGGGTCTCGACAGGTTTCTGTGGCAGCCATGGTCGCCAACTTCACGAAACCGACTGCAGAACAACCATCACTGCTGACTCACGATGAGGTGATGATCCTTTTCTCCTGAATGAAAGAGCAGATTTTGCTGCTTGCAATTCGTTTTGAAAAAAAAAAAAAAAAAAAAAAAGTTCAAGAAGGGGTTGATATTAAATGCAGATCTTATGTAGCTTTCATTGACAGCTTTTAAACATTTTTAGTAATTCAGTATCTCAAGATTTGTAATAATTTGGAGTTATTGTTCAGAAAGAAAAATATGTGCAATTGTAAAGGTTTAATGCTTCTTTAGTGACTGATTTTATTGAATTTGTTTTTGAACAGATTGAGGAATTTTATTAATTGGTGTTCAAAATAGAAAATATAAATGTGAAAGACACCCCCGGGGCTGTGCTACTGACTCAAGTGTCCTTAGGCCATTCCCAAAGGGGGGATATTACTCTACTAAAGCTAAAAAAACTGAATTAATTGGTGTTCAATATAGAAAATATAAACGTGAAAGAAGCTGATAACCCGTGAAGAATACTTGCTCATCCTGTTTCCTCACCCTCCCCCACCCACTTCCCTTTTTTTGTTTTCGATAAAGGTTGAAACATACTTCCATGAGTTTGGACATGTCATGCATCAGATCTGCGCCAAAACCGACTATGCTTTGTTCAGGTAACATGTGATGCTCAAAGTTATAGTATAATGTTATGGTGTAGTACCATTAATGTTGCCTTTTTTCTTACTGGTATGGAATGATTTAAAACTTCAGTAAAGGCATTTTTTGCGCTCTGATTGCAAACTGACTAAGAAATTTATACGAGATACTTGTTTTTGAATATTTTCAAAAGGGTTTTATTTTGTTTGTGGGTTCATCTAACTTTTTTGCTTCCCTCAATACTGGCTTTAACTGTCTTGAAAGATGGAATGGTCCAGACTGTTTCTTACTTGTGTGACAATAGGCCTGTATAGCCTTCCTTCTCATATTCGAGGGCTGCCAAGTAAACTATGGTAAGTCATGTTTTTCAAATTTTACAGGAGAAACAAAAATAGGATTTTCTTGAAGCGTTTTGGGTAGATAAACTTCATTTTCATAAGGGAGCCTAATGTCTGCTGTCAACCCTTATGAAAATAAAGTTTATCCACCCAAACGCTTGAAGAAAATCCGTTTTTTTTGTGTCTCTCATGTAACATTTGAAAAACATGACTTATCATAGTTTTCTTGGCGGCCCTCGAATTTTGATGTTAAGATTTGTTCCATTTACCATTTTTGTATGTTACGATGGTCTTACTTGATTGTGATGGACCCCATTTGTTTATCATGACGTTTTTTTTTTCACAGTGGGACGAATGTGGAAAGAGACTTTGTGGAGGCGCCATCGCAGATGCTTGAGAACTGGGTGTGGGAGAGGGAGCCCCTTCTGCGCATGTCTTCACACTACAAGGATGAATCGGCCATTCCAGATGACCTGCTGGAGAAGCTTACCCTCAGTCGTCAGGCCAACGCCGGTGTGTTCAATCTCAGGCAGATCACTCTGGGAACGTTTGACCAGAGGATACACACCCGCTCAGAGGTAGGTCTCTCCTGAATCAAAAGATATATAGGGATTTGACCCTATACGTACGTCGTGTTTTGCTATCGTATCTATACGACGTGGGGAACTCTGTGCCCCCACTTTCCAAAGAGGAAATTTACTCGTTAATCCGATCCGAACGCTTTGCATAGCAGTCTATGATTTTTGGAGAAATACTGAAAGTTTCAAAGAGATCTTCGCTCTAGAAGTATTCTAAAATGTGAAGATACTACCCCTGGGGTACAAAATGACCTCAGGCATACGGGTAGGGTTAAGCCAAAGACGGCCAGGCCTGTTTGCTGATTTTGTATCTAGTTGGACTGAAGCTTGGGGGGGGGGGGGGGGTGCAGGAGCAGCCCATGTACATTTCCTTGATAAAGTATTTTTTAACTTGAGTTCTTTCAGTTTTGTGGTTCTCCTCTCATTTGGCTTTTTTGCCCTTCAGAGATGGATTTTAATGTTAAATAAGACAGATTTCTCCTTCTAAATAACCATACTCTCAAATGTAAATAACCATACTTTGTTCAACCCTGATCAAGCCATAGACCACAAACTGGCTGATGAAATTCTTGATGGTTTTGTGGTATATCATGGCTTAATGCTCTTAAATGATGGCACGTCACCTTTGCTGAGGGGGTCAATCTGATCAGTTTAGCTGGGGCCATGGTTATGTCACTCTCTTGATGTAATATTTTGATAGGGGGATGAGACTAATGGACAAGGAGTCTGTTTTATGGATATGTTTTTGGTGTGAGATGAGATTGGTTTATTGATTATTACAATATTTTTTTTTGTCTTTGTCGTTCCATACCTAGGCCTACTGTGAAATATGTGACTGAAAACTTGTGTATAATGTAACCCTGAGGGTGGTTGGCGGGGGCTCTGGTGTGGTTTGCTTCTTCTTTCCTATCTATCATCTATCATCTTTATCTCCCCTCCTTTTTTGTGTTTGTTACTCTCTTGTAACACCTCTGATCTTCGGCACTTATATGACCTTATGGTGTTGCAAGTGCCGTAAAGCTCTTACTAAAACTAAACAATGTAACCCTTTTATTTTGTCAACTACTCTATGTCCTTTCCACTCTTATTTCCGCAGGCCAACACTGCTGCTGTATATTCTGAAACATGCAGCGATATTTTGGGAATTCCTGCAACAAAAGGCACCAACATGGCTGCTACATTTGGCCATCTGGGTGGTGGCTATGATGCGCAGTATTATGGTTACATGGTGAGTTTTGGGTAAATAGACTTTTTGTATGAAACTGAAAGTTTCCGAAAGCTGTGTAAATGAATTGTCTTACTTTAGAGAAGTCAAAATGCATGGTTTATTTAACTTACTTGCAGCTGTTCTTGAACTGTTTCAGATAATCTCCAGTGGAGGTACGCATAATGAAAAGGGTTTCAGTGGAAGCATGTTAATTCTTTAAAAGATTCAGTTGTTTCCTCTGAATCGATGAGCTAAACTGGATGACTGGACTCAATTTTGTAAAATACTGTTCTCTTTTTAGCTGCCTGAAATCCAAGAAATTATAGTATTTTCTGTTGTCTTTTCTCTCTTATCGTGTATTGTTTGGTCTGATCCTACAGTGGAGTGAAGTTTTCTGCATGGACATGTTTGCCTCAAAGTTCAAGAAAGAAGGTGTTATGAACCCAGAGGTTGGGGATCTGTACAGGAGGTGTATTTTGCAGCCAGGAGGTTCTCTGGTGAGTCTTGACAATGACAATGACAGTCTTTATTCATCTCGCAGGGAGAAGTTTGTCTTGGTCATTTACAATGGCAGTAGATGTTACACATTTTTTTTGCAATCACGCATATACGCATATGCTCAACAAGACAGGACATTACTCTCTCTCTCCTCTCACTCTCTCTCTCACTCTCTCTCTCTCTCACTCTCTCTCTCTCCCTCCCTCCCTCCCTCCCCCCCCCTCTCTCTCTCTCGCTCTCTCTCTCTCTCTCTCTCTCTCTCTCTCTCTCTCTCTCTCTCTTGTAGCACTGTGTGATGAGTAACCCTCACACTGTGCTACAAATGAAACTTTATGTCCATGTTTAAAGAGAGTAAGTAACTAATTATCCAGTCGTGAGTTTTGCACCAATAATTGAAAGTACTGTTGCTCATTTTTGGCAGTGGGTTGTTGGCGGGTGCTCTGGTATGGTTTGCTCCTTCTTTCCTGTGAAACGTCTATCGTCCTTATCTCCCCTCCTTCTATCTTTATGTTTGTTACTTTCTTGTAACACCTCTAATCTTCGGCACTTATGTAACCTTATTGTGTTGCAAGTGCCTTAAAACACTTTCTAAAGCTAAATCAAAATCATTTCTGGCTCCTTGTTTCTTTGTTTTTTCAACTGGTGTTTTTGTTGGTCTCATCTCTTACAGTGGGAGCTGCTTGTATATTTACTGTTAGTCTTTAAAAGTTTCTTTTGAAGTGCAAGGTACTTTCCACACATAAATACTGTGACATGTTTTAAGGTATGATACAATTCCTATTTGTTTGTAATAAAAGATGATTTTCCTATGCAGCAACTTGATTACAATAGGCAGAGATCATGAATAAAATTTTATTCTGGTATCTTGCCTTGTGTGGAATTTTTTGCTGGGTTGGAAAAAATGTCCCAAACACTTACCCTGCCTGTTTGTTTAACGTTCATTATTACGTCTAATGTGAAATGAAGAACTGGGCAATTTTTCTATTAGTTTCCGTTCTTGCCTACACACTTCAAAATTGTTTGACTTTTTCGTTGGCAGCCACTTTTATTCCATAGGAATTTAATCGGAGAGAGAATTTATGTCTACTTGAGAATTGTCTTTTCCCTTCCACAATGACAGTAAAGGTCAAGTCTTTGTCTACTTTTAACCGGAATTGTACATTGTTGGCCTACATGATGTCATTTACAAAAGCTAATTATCCCTAACTCACACTCTCACTCAAACATGGGGGTTCTTGTGGCCTAGAGGTTATGGTTTTGGCTTCTCATTCAAAGGTCCCGGGTTCGAATCCGGGTAGCAACCGAAAAAATTTTCTTCTCTAAAATTGTCTCCTTTCACCTCCTTTCCTGCTCTCTAGCAATGTTCTGTTGTCTACTTTCGTCTCCTCTTCCTTCCCCCAACCCCCTCACCTCCTTTGTCCCCTTCTCTGGGCTCCTGATTCTTTCTGCAGCCTTTCTACTGCTACTCCTTGGCTCCTTCTTACTGCTGTCTTTCAGCTACACCCCTGATCTTCTGGTAGGAAAGATCTACAGCTAGCCTTCTTGGACAAGGGCGAAAAATCTCGGGGGGTCCAGTGTTCAAGTTGCACGAATTAAAGATCCTTGGTGGTCTAAAATCGATAAGAATAGGCTTCGGCCGCCACCCGGTTAAAATGCAAAATTTCCTACCAACTGAAAAAGTTTAATATGTGTCACTTTTCAGGCATGTGGAGTTTTGGTATCATCTGAAAGCTGATTTATTTGTCTTGCCTCCTATGAAATAAATGTCCATTTATCTTGGATAGAACTCAAGATATTTGGGGTTGAAGGAAGTGGTAAAATAAGTGAGAAAATGACTGCCAAAGTTTGGTGACTCCAATAGCTAAAGAGTCTTTGAAAACTGAAAAATGACATATCTATGTTTTTAAGTAAAATTCACGTGGAAAGGTATTTTTATATGGACACTAAAGAGGTTAAGCCAAAAAATAAAAATTCAATAAAAATGTCCAAACCAGCAGGAAAAATGACTTTCTCCAATTTTGTTACTTTGACGAGAGCCTGATTTCACCACGCTGCCTCACGTATGTCCCACGCACTCATATGACCTTATGCAGTTGCGATCGCCGTAAAACATTTAAGAAAAACGCAATAAAACACTCAAACATGGTATTTTAGCATGCTTTCTCTTTTCCCCACACTTACACTACACACATACACTCCCCTGCTCAGGCATGATGTTTATTTATCTTTTCCTTTCTTGTCGTAAGAAATCCCTTTAATGTTTCAATCATTTACATAATTTTTCTATTCATTATTTACCTTTCTGACAGATTTTATTGCAGAGTTGTGATTTCACGGATGTTGAACTTTTCTTTCCTCTTTCTATTCTCCAATCAGGATGCTGATGAGATGCTGAGAAACTTCCTTGGCAGAGAGCCTCAGCAGGAGGCCTTCTTGGCCAGCAAAGGCCTGAAAGCATAAATTCTTGATCAATACTTTTGTATCTCTCCCTACCAAGAGAATACATATGTAATGCTGGTAGTGTCACATTTGCCTCTGAAGCGTACATACAGAAAATATTAAACAGTTGAAATTTGCTGTTTATGATAAATCCAATGTATGATAATGCTATTCTGTTTTATTGTAGGTGGTTTATGTTCTCTGTGAAATGAAATATAAGTTTTCACCGTGTTGTGTATTCAGTTTTCAAGTACAGGTACTCGTCCTTTGTCCTTGGCGAGAAGGCAGCATTAAGTTGTGTAGTAACACGTATGTTTGTGTAACAGCTGGCGAATGTGGCCTGTATGGTGGGACTTTGCTCTACATGTTCTGCTTCATTCCAGCTGGAGAAAAATTGGTTATGTTGATTTTTGCTTCATCAGATGACTATTTTTCCCATGTCATGTACTTTTGCGGTCAGTTGAAGGTTAAAAAACATGTTTTCAATGTTTTAGATTAAGAAATGTTTAGGTCCTTGTTTGATGGTCAGACCACTGTTTGGTAAAGATTATCTCTCATCTATTTGAAAGCTTCTCCTTTACGTATTGGAAAATTTGTGGACCAAAGGTACTAAACTTGTATAATTATTTGAAACACCAAAGCTCATTTCATGAAATATGATGTATACAGCTTTACTCAGATTTTGAAATTATACAAATATAGTATGGAGTGCATTTTACAGAGAAAGGAGTTATGCATCGGACTTTCCCATCATGGCTGCTCTGTTTAAGAACATTTTTGGTGCATTTAATAATTTGTTGCTTGCTGGAATCAAATGGTCTGTTTTAGCGTTAGATTTTGGTGTTTATTTGTTGTGGGTTTGGTGGCTTTTTTTGTCAGCCTTATTGATCCTTTTTAATGGTATAGGGAGGGTGAAAGTTGTTTATTTTTTTCTTGCACTTCAGTAATTTAAAAATATTTTTTGTTTCTCTTTTTTTGTCTAGGGTTTGTTTGAAAATTACTATATTTCTGATTCACAGAGTTTCTACAATGCATGAATGAAACACCAATCACTGTTAACCTTAAGTAATCAAACGAGACAGCGTGAATGAATGTGATTCTTTTTTACATCAGCAGAATAAATGTCATATTGGCAAACATGACGAGACTTATTTAAGATGCTGTGTTCTGTTCTCTCTTACGGTTTGCTAAGCAGCTGGCATTAGTTCTGTTTAGCTTAGGGTTTTTGCATTTACTCTACACTGATCTTTGTCGTTTCTGTCTTATTTATGCGCCCCATCATTTCTAAAGCCCTGGTTACTCGCAACAATAAATTGTACAAAAACTGGACAATCTATCGATCATGAGACAAATCGTCAGGTGTGACCACAAATTTGTACAAAGTTTGGACGATTGGACGATGGCCTGGAGACTTGGTAAAGAAATCAAGTGCTGCTTGATATTTTCCGTACGATCATGGTCAGATTTGGGGGAGGCACGCTGTGACGTTGAATCATTTTAAAATTTGCCATCGTGCAGGATTAAACTTAGGGCTCAAAATTTTTTTAATAGTTATCACAGGTAAAAACTGATTGCATTTTCGGAATCAGCATCTCAACATAAGCAAGGTTTCAGCTTTAGTAAGAGTTTCGTGGCCCTTGCAACCCAAATAGGTCATGTAAGTGCCGAAGATTAGAAGGGTTAACAAAGAGCAATATATAATTTTATATATATATATATATATATATATATATATATATATATATATATATATATACACAAAAAAAAGAAAAGAAAAGAAGAGAAAAAAAAAAGGACAGGAGATAAGGACCATAGATGCTTCACAGGAAAGAATTGGAGCAACGAACACCAGAGCACCCGCTAACCACCCACGAATAGAATTCATTGTATATTACTTTTTTGGTTTTTGTTAAGAAGTTTGGTAAATGTAATGTTTTCCCCTTTCAACCGACAACCCAATGACCGCCAACTCTCTCGACCCCACAATGAAAGCGACTAAGCTGATCTCATGGAGACGACCATTGTGTTTGCAAAACACTGCCTCACCCTGCACATTCCCAAACTCTCTTTTATTTTTCTTAAGCCTCTCGAATTTGGTAGATTTGGTCACGAAAAGCTAATTACAAGTACCTGCCTTTAGTAATTTCAAGTAGATCAGAACTAAATGATACGCCTACTATGTAAGATCAGTAAGTAAAAAGCAAACCAGATGCTTACTTTTGAGTTGATTGTCTTCTATCAAAAAATGCCAATGATTTTGTCAGAAAAGGTATCCATTGAAATTAAGCTGGTGTGATTAGGCATGCCGTATGCTTAAAAAAAAAATCAAAAAACAAAACAAAACAAAACCAACAACAAAAAAACAACAACAAACAAACAAATAATCAAACAAACAAACAAAACCCATTAACATTAACAAATTTGTTTATTTTAAATGACATATTAGCCAATAGTTAATGAAACTTAAGTTATTACAACTAACGTTCAGGGCCCCTTGAGGGCACAGCAATGACAGTACCGCAGCTGATGGTTTTTTTGTTGTTGTTGTTTGTTTTGTTGGTTTTTTGTTTGGTAAGTGTTTTACGGCGCTCGCAACTGCATGCTGCATGAGGTCATATGAGCGGGTGTGACACATTTAACATTTTCAGTTGGTAGGAAATTTTGAATTTTGCTCAGGTGATGGCCGAAGCCTACTCTTATCGATTTTGGACCACCAAGGGATCTTTAACGTGCGCCACTTGCTCTCATGACCTCTGAGATTTTTCGCCCTTGTCCGAGAAGGCTAGGTGTAGATCTTTAATCCTACCATAAGACCAGGGGTGTGGCTGAAAGACACCAGTAAGAAGAATCCAAGGAGTAGCAGCAGTAGAATGGCTGCAGAAAGAGTCAGGAGCTAAGCCGAGGAGGGGCAAAGGAGGTGAGGGGATGGGGGCAGAAAGCAGACGATAGAACATTGTTAGACAGCAGGAAAGGATGTGAAAGGAGAACATTTTCCGTTGCGATCCGGATTCGAACCCATGACCTATTGAATGAGAGGCGAACACCTTAAACCTCTAGACCACGAGAGCCCCCGCTTATGAAGTTTAGCCTACACTTCATTGAGGTGTCGGTGTTGCTAACTGTGGGCAATGTGGAGAGTTAGGAAGACGGAGAAGAGGGGGTTCAGAATGGGGAGTGGGGATGAAAGGGGGAGGTGGTTGAGAAGGTGATTGTGGGGGTTTGGAGGGGTTAGAAAGTGGGCTGATAGGTGGGAAGATGGAGTAGTGGGGAGGGAGGCTGGGGGAGAGGGGTCGAGGGTCGGGCATAGGAATGTAGGAGAAATGGGAGAGGGTGATAGTGATAGAAAGGGGTGTCACTTGTTCGGAGTTGTGGGTTATTATGAAAAAGAAAAATATTGGAAGCGGGTCTTGGTCGTCGATACCCCCCCCCCCCCCCCCCAAAAAAAAAAAGAAAAAATAAAGGGAGAAAATTATCTCAAGGAAATTGAGCCGTAAAGAGGAGTTTGCTTTTACACCCTAAAATAACCAGATTACTGTTTTATTATAAACATCGAGATTATATAACGCAGTGGTTCGCATCTATTCATACAGACTTCAACATAAGTTAAAAAGCACCACTTGCAAACACTCTGAGTGGTCTTCTGGGTCGACCTGCACGTGGGCGTTCTGGACTGATCCAGTGGCTTGATGGCGCTGCCTCGGGCTGAAAATGACAGAGTGTGACACTGCAAGCCTTCTGGTAACTTCTCGGGCTCCAACTCATCCTGCAGCCATGTCATAGCTTTGGCACGATCAAAGCATCTCAGCTTTCGTCTTGGTGGCACGTTGATGCAATACTGGATTTTGCGCAAACGGCGGCTTATATTGCCACCAAAGTGAGCACAGTTCGAGACCGTACGTCAGTTTATGACGTGCACCATAAATTTTAACTGAGGAACATCAGTGGTGTCGCACACAAGTCGATAAAAAATAGCAGATTTGGCAGACATACAGACCGACACAGAGAGAGAGAGAGAGAGAGAGAGAGAGAGAGAGAGAGAGAGAGAGAGAGAGTGAGAGAGAGAGATAGATAGATAGAGAGAGAGAGAGATAGAGAGAGAAGGAGAGGGAGAGAGAGAGAGAGAGAGAGAAGGAGAGGGGGGGGGCGTGCGCACATGAGAGCACGCACACACACACACACACACACACACACACACACACACACACACACATCTTTATTTATATATATATATATATGTATATATATATATATATATATATATATATATATATATATATATATATATATATATATGTATCTGGAAAAAATTATATAATAATATTGTAGGTAGAATCTATAGGCTATAATGTAGCCTAACTGTATCAAACACATATTAGAAAAGACACACATTATTCCATTAAAAAATATATATAATAGAACAATATAATGTACATGTATAAGCTTCATGTTTGTGCAAGTTGGCACAAAACCAGTAAAAGAACACACTTTTCTATAAAACGAAAAGTAAGGATAGATTTCTCAGGCTAACTATAACTACATATTTCAAGTTACATTTTCATTATCATTTGATTAAATTTGGACCATTCAAATTTGTTTCAAAATGTAGTGCCCCACTACGATGAATTATTTCGTAGGAAAAAAAACCAACGTCATATTTTTTGTTACAACCCTGCAAATAAGGGGCGTTTACTCTTGTCTGAAAGAATAGCTTCGATAGAAACGCAAGAAATGTTTGGAGTGCTTCGAGCAGTGGCATGAAAAATTATTTTTTAAAAATTCTAACCATAGAATCTTCCACCAATTTCATGGTATGGTGTTAGGGTATGTTTGAGTTGGCTGTAGATCTATATAGTGCGTTTATTTCTATGTTATTATTCTAATGACACTTAATAATGTTCACTTCTCAAGAATACATTGATCGAAAGACGGGAGAGCATGGAATCGGCCGCCTGAGCTATCTACAATCAATTGTCACTGAATTTCAGGACACATCTGAGGAAGGTAAAGTTGCCATTGTGTACTTTGTTGCATGTGGAGCATGATTTTGTTTTCTCATGGCATGTCTAGGTCACTACTATTTGAGGTGAATACAAATTGGCTGGCAGTGATCTTGGTGATCTTACTTGTAGCTTCGTTCTTTAAAGTCCACGATCCAATTGTTTACGTCCAGAGAAGAAATCCGGATGTCTTGATGACCAG